ACTCTCCTAAAGAGTTCTGCTTTATTTTTCATAATTGATTTTTGTTTTTTTTAATTGAGTAGCAACATTTATTTATATGAAGCTTATAAATATTTATGGTGTTCTTACTTTGTATCTACATTGCAGAAAGTCTCTCTTCTCAGAAATCTTAAGAATCCAATTTAGGAGCTGGTGTTGTAGCGCACACAGCTGGGAAAGCTGCCACCTGCAATGCCAGCATCCCATGTGGGTGTTGGTTCATGTCCGATCTTCACTTCTGATCTAGCTCCCTGCTAATGGCCTGGGAAAAGAGGGGGAAGAGGGCCCAAGTGTTTGGGTTCCTGCCATCCATGTGGGAGACCTGGATGAAGCTCCTGGCTCGTGGCTTCAGCTTCGCCCAATCCTGGCCTTTGTGGCCATCTGGGGAGTAAACAAGGGAATGGAACATCTCTCTCTGTCTCTGCCTCTTTCTGTGTAACTCTTTCAAATAAACAAATTTTTTTTTTTAAAAGTCCAGTTTAGAAACAAGGCCAACCAGCACAAAATAATTAAAACAGGAAAGTCTTTAAAGAAAATGAATTCTCCTAAATGGGTTAAAAAACACCTTTGTTCTCACTGTGACAGTGTATTTGCTCAGAAAAATTACTTCAATAAAATGATAAAATCTTAGAGTTCAATCCAAGTTCAACTGAATGATGACAGGTACTAGCTCCCACCACTATGTTTTCTCCAATAGTTTAAGAAAATATCAATTTATTGTGTTATAATATTTGAATTTTCATGTTAGATTTCCACTGTGATTGATTTCCTTAGGTTTATTAAGCTGTCCTCATTTGCAAGGCATAGTACAGTGACTGGATGGAACATATGAGATCTTCAATAAAGACTAAACGAAAAACAGTTAATGAGGTTTTATTATTCATATAATATAAATTTATATAATATTTCATATATCATATAGTACTTACAAATCTAAATTTGGAAGCCAAGAAATAGTGGCAATTTGATCAAGTCACTGAAGCTCTGTTTCTCACATCCTACCATGCTATTTTCCAGATCCACAATTCTATAACCATTCTAGAAATTTCAACTTGACACGTAGTTACTTAGCACTTCCTCTGAGGAATAATTTGTTACTTGCTGAATTCACATTCATAGTCTATTAGAGCATCTCACATGACAATGATGCTGATACTAGGAGCATCTTACTGCCTTCATCATTTTTTTAAAAGGACAAAGACATTTCTATATTTCATTGTCGACAATGATTTTATAAAAATGACATCCTGGACCACATCATGGGGCTGGAAACAACTGATCATAACTCTAATTTATAGGAAGCCCTAAAATATTTTAAATTCACCTTGCCTGTTAATTCATAGAATCTCAAAAGGACATATACATTTTAACTCCATCCCTGGACCTTTATAACCTCATATTTCAAAGAAACCACATCATGAGAGATGTTATAATGTGTTATTCCTCTCTGTATTTGGGTCTTTTTCATGTTTAACTTCCCATGGTAGTCTCAGATTAGAATACTTTCAAATTCCTGAGAATCACTTCTATCTCAAATAACTTATAGTAAAGAAATTCAGAAGCCTAAACATTGTTGGTAAGGGAGCTGGCTGACCATATAAAGTTTAACAGACACTAGATTATGACATTGGATAAATGTCACTGACCTAGCCTCTCCACACCCAATCCAAAAAAAAAATGTAACAGGGAAACTGACTTGTATTATTGTGTTATAATTCAGGGTCTTTCCAAGTAACCATGGAAAGACCTAGGGAAGAAAAATTTGACAAACGCAGAAATAACCCTTTTTATTATCTTGTTTCACTGTTGTTATCAAGAACATGTAAGAAATGGAACCAACAACTGAATCAAATGAAATTAATATTTGATTTCAACTTCTAATTAAACTATTAAAAATTACAAAATTGTTGCCCAGGTAGGAATTCATTTTGGGATGAATTCACCTGTTTACCTTCATAGTTAACAATTATGGTAAATAACAGTATTTCCCATTTTTCTAGCCTTGAGCAAGGAGGAAAAAGCATAGTACTTATTCACACAGAATTACAAAAGAGCACATTTTATGCAATAAAATGATTTTTTTCACCTATTTTACAATGGGATTCCACTATGATTGTTTCATGGAATACTTTTTATATTTAGCTAACTATCCTTTTCAAGTAAAATGGAAGACTTTATAGCAAATGCATAAGATTTGTAGTTATCAAGATTTAAAATTAATCAGTTCAATTTTACTGCTTTTCTTAGGTTGTTACTAGAAGCTGTTTCTGATTCAGTGTCCACATTTATTTGTTCACTCATCCTCTCATATAGTCTTCCTTTGCATTCAATCCTTGCAAGGTAACATTTTTTTTTTTTTCTCAGACACTGGGGATATAACAATAAAAAGTGATGTTACCTATTCTAATGTTGGCCAGCAGTTAGGCAATGAAGGATTTTAGTAGATTAATCCACTGCCATAAAGCTTTAGATAAAGCTGTGTAAAGCTATGTGATTGGGTTAAGTCCCCAAGCTTATGCCAGTTTACAACTCTAAAAAAAAAAATCTAAGGATGGAAATCACAGGATTTTCATTGCTCTACTCGTGGTTGTTCAGCCAGTTTGAAGGCACACTTACCAGGAACGTAGGAAAACCTGAAACCTATAATATCCCAGCTCCAAACTTTCAGGGGAACAATCTTGGATCTCTAACACTCTAGGACAACTAGAGCCAACAGTAGTACCTTCATTTTGTTAAAAACAGTAAAGTGGGAGAGATTTACCTCTAGAGTACAAGAACACTGACATATTCTTGTAGATAGGACTTAAAGTTGCATTTTACAAAGGACTGAAAAGGCACTTTCAAGCTTGTCATTAAAGTTTACTATTCCTTTAGTACATCAAAACAGCTCTATTTAATTCTACTCAACTAAATACATGGAATTCTTCCCCAAAATTTCTGTGCAGAGAAAGTCAGGCAGTTGAGGGTAAACTCATCCTCAAGCCATGGATCACACCAGGAAGATCAGTATCCACCTTCTCCCACCAAAGAAAGGCAACATGGAGCTCAGCAGGGGTCTATAAACATTTTCTATAAAAAGCCCAGACTATAAATAGGTTAAGCTTTGTAAGCACAGTGAGTTCTTTCATAATTGCTTAAATCTTCCTTTGTAGCAATAACAGCCATAGACAATATGTGAATAAATAAGAATGTCTGTTTTCCAGTAAATCTTTCATTTACAAAATCAAGCATAGGGCCAAATGAAGCTCACAGGACATAGATTGCCTACCCTTTACCTGGGTAAACCTGTGTCCTGAATAATGGTAACATTTCTAATCTTTATTTAGTCTCTCATTCTATGCTACATCATGTCACCTACTGAAATAAATATAAGCATGTGGAATGAAAGATACAATTTCTCATTTATCATTAAGTATCATTTTAATAATGACATCTTGATGAAAGATATCCACAGGAACCTATATTTATCCCTTTAAGTGCAATCTTTTCCAATATTGATAAAACATTTTTATTTTTCTACTTTGTAGATAGTTTGCTTTGCTTTATATTATAGTAAGTGCAATTTAAATTTTTCTCATTCTTTTTCATAATCTTTCAGTAGGAATTCTCAGTATCACTTGAACTACCCAGAGACAAATGCCCTACATCAGCTTCCCTCAGTCTACAGGAATTTTCAAACTGATATTTTTACTGCTTCCAACTTTATGTCAGTTACCAATGCAATGTATCTCCTCCTAGTAATCTCCTTCCTTATGTCCATACCTCCTTCCATTATAGACCCGGGCATGAAATCTATTCTCTGTTAAGAACTGGATTCAGATTGAAAGACCTGTATAATCTGGTTACTGTAACTACATGAAATGTCACTATAAACACAGTATTAATACCCTTTGAAGAAAGGAATTGACTTTGCAATAGCTATTCTTTATAGTATTTAAAAGTTTTGTGATTTGTTTCATGTTTTTTGGTTAGATTCCAAAATATTATGGTTAATAGAAATCTGATTAACAGAGAAATGAGGATTCTTTCTTTATATTCTATATTCTATTTCTTTATATCCTATTTTCATATCACTTTGTTTTCTGATCTTTGGGAAAAACTAATATGGGGATTTTTTTTTTTACTGATTTTGCTATTTAAAAGTTTCTCTGACCCTTAACCTGCTTATTTCTCACTAGATCTTTATAGCACATTTTAGCACAAAGGATCTCAAAATCACTTAAGAATCTCCCTGGGAAGCATTTGAAAAAAAAACAACCCTTGGTTCCCACCCAATAGTTTTCTGATCAGTTGTTTTGGAGACAATGAAACACATTAGTTATTCAGGGACCAATTTAGTTTTCATTTTAGTTTATAATTTCAAGTGATTTTCAAATAAATCAAGAGCTAAAAAGCTTTTATTTATTATTTCAATTTCTTTTAGAAGTCTATATAAAAGGATTAAGTTAGAAATGTTTTATACTGATACTCCTCTTTGTTTTGTAGCATTTAAATCTAACACACAATAAATGAGCAGTTTAGACATTAACTTTCTCTTTAACATATTTAGAAGTGTTCTTTTTTATCCATTTATGTAAATGGAACAGATTTCATTTATTTCTCATATACATTTTTAAGAATTTTATAATTTCCAGGCCCCCTCCCTCACTCTTCCTTATTTTTCTTTTAATTTTTGATATACTCTCTTTTGATATACTCTCAATTTACTTAATTACCACAAGCTGAATCCTCCACTAAATAAAGAATTCAACAAGTAAAATTCCCTGTAAACTTATTTCCAAGTGGTTGCATTTTATACACAGAGGGAGAGACACACAGACACCTACACACTTTTTTGATGACCTGACCACTTGAAAATGTAGTAAAAGTTTTGCTTTTAGCATTGAGATCTTTTACTCTTTTTCTCAGTTGACTATTGTGTCTTAAATGACAGCTCTTGATAACTTTGAAATTATGTGAATGTTGCTTTCTCTTATTCATAGCACCAGAAGAATGGGCCACCACCCGCCCCAGCTTGAAGGCTCCACCTCCAAGGTCAGCCAGAGGGGGATACAGGGAACACCCCTACGGTAGATATTGAAGGTCCTCCTCAACTGTGACCTCACCTCAAAGACAATTCATAGCCTGTGGTCTTCACACAAACAGCAACAAGACAAGTAATAGTCTTTTTTTTGTTTGTTTTTTCTATTCTAGGGATAACTGCTCATGATTGCCCTCATATATTTCTTGTATTTCCCTCTATACTGTTGGCGTGACATTGACACTAGTATTATTTTACAAAATGGACTGAAAAAGATATTGGCAAGCATAGTCTATAAACTCGTCAGTAGGAAGATATTCTCTTGGTTGTTTTTCATTGTTGTATGTAATTTTTTCCTTTTTTATTTTTTTTTAAGAAAGAGCATGAATCTGTTAACAGACATTGAGTCTCAACCAATTAGCAGAAGCTTTATTTAGGGTTGCTAAAAGACTGTAATACGATTTTTGAACTAGCTGATAATAAAGTTGTAGATAAGATGTTTTAACCTGTCTTTTAATATCTGTTAGTTAGATGAAGATGTTCGATATTAAGTTTGTAAATTTAATTTTAAATGCTGTTTTAATGGGGTTGAAATCAAGCAGCTACTGTATGTATGTAGCTAACTGAATTTGTTCAGTGTTTTAACCTGTATTTGTTAAAAAAGAAAAAAAAAACACATAAAGTTCCATGTGTAAGATTCTCTAAATAGGAAACCACAATTTGTCAAATATGTTTGCCATAATTTGTCAATAAAGCTGAAAACTTTTGTAAAAACTAAATTTGTAATTACTTGTTTTCTAGCTTTAAATGCCTGCTTTATTTCTTCTTCAAGAGATGCCTAAAATGTTTTCTATTTAAAAATTACAAAAATGAACCCAAGCCTGTTTTAAGATATTTGTGTAATACTTAAAAATGTATTAATAACTTATGGTTGTTAAATAATTTAAAAGTTAACAAACTAAACTGTTACATGAATCATGGTTAGTAAACACTAATGTATAACATGTTAATGGAAAAAATGGATTTAGAATAATAAATGGATTTTAAACTATCCTCTAAGCTTTATCTTGCTAAACACAAATTCTGATTGACTTGTTTGCATTAGCCTGTCTCTCCTGAGAAAGAGTAATGGAGTATAAAGAGGTAAGATTACCACTTACCACTGTCTAAATGCCTAGTTCTTCAACCTTTGAGTTTCCCCGCACATTAAATATCCCATCCAACATGTAAGCATTGCGTAGATTCACTTTATTGTTTTCACTCAAAAGAGTGCGTGGACTTCATTTGCGTAGTTTATAACAATTTGTTTTGACAAACAAATCATCAGTGTCACTGGCTAGTTGTTGCTATTCAACCTCAAAAACTTTATTTGTAATTTTCAGTGCTAAATATCACCGCCCTTGAAGGCAGTTTAGAGGGCTGATATTTCTTTTGAGACTATCAGACTTGATGGCTGATGATTATTAAGGAAATATGTCGCAGGACTCAAAGGATGACTAAACGTTAAACAGGTAACACTAATAGTAACTCTGTAATTTTGCCTATGTAACAGTAATGTTAAATATTCTCAGTTATTAAGTTCCTGATAGTTAAAAAAGTAAACCTACAAAAACATAACAAATAGGTCTATAGGCTTTTAAAACAACTAATTAACATTAACTAGAGGCATCAAAATTATTTTACAATATATAACCCTCAAGGTAATAAACAGAACTAAAATTAACAATAATAGTAATGCAACTCTTGCTAACATCAAACGTAAGCTAAATTTTGATGGAAAAAAAAGAAAGTGAAAAACTTGATGGTAGGAATGAATGCCAAAACTGTTAATATTTTAAATACAGTTTTTTTGTTTACGGTGGCTTTTTGTCGATGTATTGGTTTACTTTTTTGCTGCTAACCAGCTTAGGCATATTGCTGTTCAGTTTTCGCAGCTGGAGTTGCATGCTAATAGTTTTATGAAGTGTGTGTCTGTCATCAATTTATATTGTACATATTTGCCTTTCATAAAGTGCTTTTGAGTTATATTGAATTTTCTTTTTCTATTCTTTCTCCCCATTCTAGGTACCCATGAGTAAAGAACACATTGAATACCAGATGTGATTGGCTAAGAAACCTGGAGGTAATTTTAAGTTTTGTCTTTGAAATACATAGATAATCTTCACCAACATTAAAATATGATGTAATATGAAGGTACAGTAGTGAGCTAAAATACCAAGTGCTGCTAGTTGAAATACGCAAATACTTTGATTGTCAAGAACTGAGTTATTTTTACCTTCTTTAAAATAAGATATTTACATGACAAGCATGTTAGTTTATTCAGAATCCTGTCAAAGGAAAAGTCAATTGTACAAAGGGTATGAAAACTTTCACTCTGCAGATTTAAGAGAAGTAAATCATAATCATTGGGTACAATAAAAGGGACAGGCTATCCTGTAGAATTGCCTGCTCCCTATCAATACCTAAACACTACATTTTTTCCTCATAATCTCACTGGATTGATCAATACTTTTTTTTTTTGTCATCTGCCGTTCCATAATGGCAAAAACAAAATCTTACTGAGTATACTGCACTATTGCAAATTGAGACTTGATCTCTGCAGAGTTCAGAAACCTTAACCGAGAATCTCAGACTGAAAACAAGGCAAAGGACAGTTACGGAGTCCACAGGCTAACCACGGAGAACTGAAATGACCTGGAACGGTGTTGGAAATAGGGTTTTAAACCCAAGTTTTCATGTTCTGGGTCTACTTCTCTTTTTTTCTTTTTCCAACAATATCCACACGCTGACACTGAAGAAGTGCCGGAAGAGGTCTGGAAGCGTCTGCAGCTCCTTCTGGCAGGGATTAGAGCCATTACAGTGGACTGAAACGGAATTAGTTAACTCGCCAGTGAGGAAGGGAGTGTGTCCTGGAGAAAGGAAGTTGCTGCCTGCATTTGCGGAGCTGGCAAAGTGCGAAGTTTGAGAGGAAAACAATAGGTCAGTGAGCCTTGTGGGCCATTTCCATGAAGACACAAAATAAAAACGAAGTCTGGAAAGGCAGGTTCGAGACAGGCCCCAGTTATCACTAAGTGTGATGCTCTGTACATCTACGAAAGAAAGACTGTCCAGATTGAGAAGAGGTATCAGTCATTTAAAATATCAGTGTAAGATATTAGCGTGGCCTTTAAATTTGGGTTCTGTACACCATGCCAATTATTCTGTAAGGGGCTCACACAAGTTTGGAACTCAAAGAGGACACGGTCTCAAGGGGACCCCTGGAAGGCAGCAAGTTCAGCAGAGCTCCCCACACCTATGCGAGTCAGGTGCCTTCAGGGAGAAGTGGCTGCCTGTTTCTCCATGTTGGGAAGCAAGAAGCGGGTGTGGCAGAGTCATACAAAAACAAACCCTCTTCGGCAAGGCATGGAGGGTGCAGCAGCACAGCCACAAGATGAGCTGAGCAGGCTGCAGATTGGTCAGCAGCTGCAACGTGAAGAGGTAAGGAAACCAGCTGCTCCTTTACATTAAAACCCACAGAACTCAAATTCAGTCCAGGAAACACAGAATGGGAAAAATCGTTTTTATCCACCTAACAGAATGAGGATCTAAATCTGAAATCAAGTTGATGTATAGAAAGACATAATTATACATACACAGCACAGTCATTTACAGCATAATTTGACACCTAACATAATCAGAAATGAATATAGTATGTTTGTCTATGAACAGGGAATGAGAATTTCTCGAAATTAGTGTCCTATCAATAAAAACCAAGTGTTCCTAAGTGAAGCACGTGCACATGGGATGGCCCCTTTTGTCAGTACCAGGAAACTTAAACTGATGGCTCCCCAGACAATGGCACGTCCACCTTATGCTATCCACCTTTTGCTAGCTATACAAACTCTCATGGCAGATTAAGCTTTTTAAATTACAGTCAATTTTAAGTGTATTTTGAAGTATTCTGTATGCATGCTTCATTCATTCTTTAAGATAACACTGTGACCGTAAACTCAATAAAACACAAACAGGAATAAGCTTGGGCACTAAAAAAAAGTATTTAAAGTAGTAATAATAATAGTAGTAAGTTAGAAAGTTTTTATGCCTATCTATGTTTGTCCATCAAAAAGTTTCACTATACTCAAGTATGATTAAAACAGAATTGATTTGATGTTATTTAATAAATCAAATAGTGCTTTTATGTCTTATTTGTAATATTTAAATGATGTTAACTTCTGGTATATTAAAGGCTTAATAATAATTGAAGCACTGGCAGTTTTTAAATGAAGTTGGCCTAATAACATATGACAAGTTCTCAGCAATTCTTTCAAAGGAAATGATTTTTTGAAATTTATTATTAAAATATTATTCTTGTTCTTTGAGTTCTTCACTTAGTAGTATACTCATGTTTGCTGGAATTTTGGAAATCACATATGTCCTTTAGAAATGAAAACTTTTCTACAGCATTCTCTCTCTCTGCATATGTATGTGTGTTCATTCATGTAAGAAATGTGTAGACTTTGTTTTTAATGAGAATAAAAAGCAGGGATCTGTAATCTGAGTTGCATACATATCCAGTATCATGTTTCAGAATCAAGAAGCCGGGAACAGAATATTAGCCAATTTGCCACTTTGATGGTTCAGTGGAAAATTTTTTTTAACTGTGGAAAACAATAAAAAAAATAGTAAATGATGGAAAATATCCAATTATATTTTACTTTATAAAACTGATTACATGATATGGCCGGTGCCGTGGCTCACTTGGTTAATCCTCTGCCTGTGGCGCCAGCATCCCATATGGGCACCAGTTCTAGTGCAGGTTGCTCCTCTTCCAGTCCAGCTCTCTGCTGTGGACCGAGAAGGCAGTGGAAGATGGCCCAAGTGCTTGGGCCCCTGCACCCGCATGGGAGACCAGGAAGAAGCTCCTGGCTCCTGGCGCAGCACTGGCCATAGCAGCCATTTGGGGGGTGACCCAACGGAAGGAAGACCTTTCTCTCTGTCTCTCTTTCTCACTGTCTATAACTCTTCCTTTCAAATAAATAAAGAAAAAAAAACTGATTACATGATTTACATTTGGTATGAAGATACAGCATTAATGTTCATAATAAAAATACTAGTGGAACCTTCTGTTTTTTAAGCATACATGCAGGAAATGTACCTGAAATTCCACATAAAAACTAATAAAAGGTATCTGCAATCCTTAAAAAACATATGCAAGAAAGGTATAATTAACCTCATTTTACAGAAGTAATGTCATGATAGTAAGATGTAGGAAAGGCTATATTTAAACCAAAGTTTGATACCCCAACCATTTTCCAAAAGTCTATATGGATTTCAAAATTTGCCCAAGTTTGATTTGGAAAGAAAATCTAATATCTCAGATACTCTTACATAATTTCCATTCTTTATCACTGTAATGAACAGTGACTTAAAACATTATGATAAAATATTTAACTTGAAACTCTACTTTAATCTCTCTTCAAAAGTTCTGCTTCCATCATAGAAAAATATAGATAAAAGAATCTGACATATTTCACAAAGCATGACCACAGTCTTTTGTAAAACAAATGAATCCATTTATAATCTAACTTCTGTTTTGACATTTAAAAACACATGATTAAGTAAGTATGAAAGCAATTTCAGGCTTGTGTTCTTCAATCCGTAAGTCAAAACTCTGATTAAAAGAATAAGGGTCTATTTCAAGTTTATATCTTTGTATATACCATGCAGTCCTGTGTTAAGAACATAGAGAAGGTACCATTCCATGTTAAGCAATTTTTTAAAAAAGTATTTCCTGTTGCCAGCATAATGTGTAACATTTATCTGGACATTGTAGTTTCTCCCTAAGTATCTGAGTCAATAATAAAAATCGCTGTTTTTCTTGACTAACAGGCACCAGTCTCCCATATCCAACATGAAGATTAATTTTCTATTCTCTTTATATAGAATATATTAATTGATACCCAAAAGATTACTTAGAGTAAGGGAGAAAAGGCCAGTTATTTGATATGTTGTTTTACATTTCAGTCTCTTCCATTTTATTATGAGAGACAGAAAAAAAGCAGAGAAGTTGTCCTACTCACACACCACTGGATGCCTCAAGAACAGCTGCCTCTCTTTCTATGCACAACAAAATACAGAATGAACCATTTTAAATCAGCAACTGGTTACTGAACAACAATTTTAGTCTCTCTTCAACAGTGTTTCATACGTTACAGTGAGAGAAACTTTAGACACTTGCATTCTCTTCGTGAAGCCTCTCTGGAGGCAAGTCTTACCATTACACACAGGTTTCCCGTCACCTTTGCCACTCAGCGTGACTTGGTCCCTTCTCTGTCTCATTCTCTGTCCACACTCACACACATATGCCACATTTCCTATCTTTGAACTTCATAGTCTGCCTGTTTTGATATCAGGACATTTTTCAAATTTTCTGATACCACTGGACTCCCCCCTTCCCCATATCTTGTTTAACTTTCCCAACAAGACATGGGGAAGTGAGGGGAGAGAGAGAGAGACAGACAGACAGACAGGAATAAAATTGATGGCTGTGAAGAAGGAAGCAATGACTAATATATTCAATCTAGTCTCTACATTGAGAAACATTTTTGGGTTAATTATGAAACCAGTACATGTTCATTAAAACAAAAGATATTAATCAACATTTAATGAAAACAGAGAAATGACACACTGTTAAACTACTGATCACAACATCATGATCTCTCATCTATAAAATAAGAGTATAATGGGTTGCAATAAGTAAGCAAACATCTCTAATTTTGCTAAATTCCCTAATTATTTCAAAATATAAAATTTAAATTAGGAATAAATTAATTTATGGAATTCACTAAGAGCAGTGCATAAAATCTGTGAATGGAATGAAGACAGTTGTAAATGCCTTTAAACAGGGAAGATTATAAATTCCAATTGCTTAAAAATAATCTTCATAATGGAGTAATATTGAAATTTTAAACTGTTTCTTTAAACTTTCCTGCTGCCATTTCAAAAATATAAAGTAACTTATTGTTTAATATTTATTTACATTGAAATAGGGCTGGCTGGCGCCGTGGCTCAATGGGCTAATCCTCCAACTGCAGCGCTGGCATCCCATATGGGTGCTGGTTCTAGTCCTGGTTCCTCCTTTTCCAGTCCAGCTTTCTGCTGTGGCCTGGGAGTGCAGTGGAGGATGGCCCAGGTGCTTGGGCCCTGCACCCGCATGGGAGACCAGGAGAAGCACCTGGCTCCTGGCTTTGGATCAGCGCGGCGCACCAGCCGCAGCGCACCCGCCGCAGCGGCCATTGAGGGATGAACCAACGGTAAAGGAAGACCTTTCTCTCTGTTTCTCTCTCACTGTGCACTCTGCCTGTAAAAAAAAAAAAAAAAAAAAAGAAAAGAAATAGGGCTAACCATGAAAATGAGACTGACTAATTTCATGTAATTGTTTTTAATGCAATGTGAAGAAAAATGTATTTATATTAATGGAGTGCATAATATATATCATTGTATTAAATGATTTGGTTAACAATTACTTTATTTTCTTAACACTATGCATGATTTAAATTGATATTTATCAAGATATTGTGTTTTTTTTTCCTTCATACTATTTGTTGAACACTTTACTTAGTGTAGGGTTAATCTTATGAGTATAAAGTAAACTGAAAATAGATCTTTGTAAATTTAGAGTGGGAATAGGACAGAGAGGAGAAAGAAGGCTAGGAGCATAGGAAGGAGGGAGAGATGAGGGTGGGAAGTAAACTGTTTCTAAATCTGTATATTTGAAATACACGAAATTTGTAAACCAATTCAAATTTTTTTAAAAAGCAAATAGTATATAATACTAAGTAACAAATGTACATAAAGCATGTTAATATTTCTTATTCCTCCAACTTTTTCATTTGAATTATTTCACAATAGAAGACTTTAAAAAGATGCTGACATACAGAAAAAAGATATTGAGTCTTGTACTATAACCCTGATATGCATATGCTATACCTGACTATATTTATTTGTCCAACTATATAAACAGTATAGAAGCTCTGTGATTCTAAATATAGAATTTCTTCATGGAGGTTAGATAGCCAAATAATAAAATAAGATATCAAAAAATAAAATAAACTGGAAAATTATGTTTCTAGAAAAACAGTCATGATTACTTATTTATATAAAGAGAACACTCTATATTATGTTGATTTATACCAATCTGTTTGACAGCAAAAATAAAATGGAGTTTTCCATCCCTTATTTTTGTGCTTTCAGATATTACACACTATTGTATATTTCATGCTTTATTGTATTTAATAATAGGACACTAAAAAGAAGATGAACATGAAAACAAGAAATGAAATGTATTTGGAAAGAAAAGGAATATAGCAAGACTACTGGTGGTGCAAGAAGTACTGGGATGAAATAGGTCACAACATGAAAAGCCAAAGGTAGACCACCAATTGATCCTTAAAAAGATACAATGTCCTGAGAATTTTAAAAACTCTATAGATTTCTATTGTGTAACATCACAAAATGCAACTTCAGAACTTTAAAATATGGTTTTCTTTCACAGCAAATACAGAGCATTGTACTACTAATAGTAATACATATGCAACTTCTGTGTCTATCTCAGCACAATTAAACTCAGACCACAGCATTTTCTCTGCACTTATACTAGCAAAATTTTCTTTTTCTTTTAATCACTTTGGAAATTTTCTGGGTCCAGTGTTGAATAAAGAACAAAATTTTGCACTAGCTTCCCACAGGTATGTTAATTCAAATTTGGGCTTTTAAAAGAGATAACTAAAAAAAAAAAAACAGTTACATATATGAATCCCAAGATACTTTGTTTACTTTTATCACACTGCTTTATAATCATATCATTCTTTGAGAGATACATTTCTTCACCTTATAATTCCTGTAAGTGTGGCATATTATATATTATAAGCTATAATAAACTGTTAGAAGAATTAAAAGTTCTCTATGAGACTTTATTGTATATTTGCTATATTCAGGTTATTAGAAAATATCTAACAGACTATCAAAGATTGATTAGTGGTAAGTAAAATTTGTTTTAAGTTGATTTGATCCCTCAGACATAGGAAAGGACCATTAAGTAATTCTCTTGGTATTTAACTCTAAGGTATTTAGATATTTATAAATGTTTCACTGATTCTACATATCTATCATCACTAATTCTACCATTTCGATCTGTCACTCAAATACATGCTTTAGATCCAAAAATGACACTGTGATTACATAAAATAGGCTCAAAGAGAGTGGTTTCATCCACAATTCAAAGCTGAACAATAGTAAGTGGATGCCAAACAGTCTGCTAAGCTAAATACATTGCTGGTTGTCACTTCAGGAAAAATAGCATCAAGTGCAGCACCTTGGCTTAATGATGACCAAGGATTTTGGGAAAGGACAGACTCTATTGGTCTAACAGCAGAAAATGGAGACCTCTTGGGAAAAGTTTACTGGGGCCAGAGATGTGGCACAGCAGATTAAGACACCACTTACAACACCAGCACATCAGAGACTCCATTCACGTCCCAGCTCCCTGCTAACATGCCTGGGAAAGCAGCTGAAGATGGTCCAGATGCTTGAGTCCTTGACACACAAATGGGAGACCAGCATGGAGTTCCTGACTCCTGGCTTCGGCTTGGACCAGCCATGACCACTGTGGCTATTTGGAAAGTGAACCAGTAGATGGAAGATTCTTTGTGTGTGTGTTTGTGTGTGTGTATGTGTGTGTTGTGTGTGTGTGTGTGTCTTCTTTTCTCTCACTGTTCTGCTCTTTTAAACCAATAAATAAATGAGTTTTAAAATAATTAAGGTTTTTTTGATGCACAAAATTTTGAGACCCATTATGCTCTTTAAGACAATTAACTTCCTCATTTCTGTCAGTGATACTATCCAGTGGTGAACGAATGAACAATTAAGGTCAAATGAAACATAGGGGCCAGTGCTGTGGCGTAGTAGGTTAACCCTCTGCCTACAGCACTGGCATCCCATTTGGGTGCTGGTTTGAGTCCTGGCTGCTCCATTTCCAATCCAGCTCCCTGCTCACAGCCTGGGAGAGCAGTGGAAGATGGTCCAAGTGATGGAGCCCCTGCACCCATGTGGGAGACCTGGAAGAAGCTCCTGCCTCCAGGCCATGGAGCTGTTGCAGCCCATAAGGAGAGAACCAGCAGATGGAAGATCTCTCTCTCTCTATCTCCCTCTCTGTAACTCTGCCTCTCAAATAATAAAATAAATAAATCTTTAAAAAAAAAAGTTCATGAAAGGGAAACTCTTCATGTGCTGTAATTATTAAACATACTTTAATAAAGCACATTCCAAACAAAAGTATGTGTTTTTTTTCTTTCTAAATGTAAACATTTACTCAAATCCTTAATCATGGATATTTATTTATTTATTTTCAAATTTTAAAAATTTCTTTAATTTATTTCAAAGACAGAGTTACAGAGAGAGGGAGAGACAGAGAGAGAGAGAGTGAGGTCTTCCACCCTCTGATTCACTCCCCAAATGGTATAATAGCTAGATCTGAACCCAGGAGCCAGGAGCTTCTTCTGGTTTCCCACATGGGTACAGGGGCCCAAGTACTTTGGATCATCTTCCACTGCTTTCCTAGGTACATTAGCAGAGAGCTGGATCGGAAGTGGAGCAGCCAGAACACAAACCGGCACCCACATGGGATGCCGATGTTACAGGCAGTGGCTTTTATCTGCCATGCTACAATCTATCACGGAATACAAGCTGGCATAACTTTGGTCATTTTTTTTAAATACATATATTAGTCCTGTTAATACTTAAGTTCTGTATATATATTAAAAAACTTTTTTAAAAAAAGCAACTTTATGCTAATTGGATAATTGAAACTCTTAAATGCCCTGCATGTTTTAAAGTCTGATTTTTGATTTGTTCTGCAAAAATTAGAAAACTTCAAAACAACTTCCTAATTTTAAACCAAGAACTCTGCTTTTGAGAAAACATCCCAGAAGATTTGTGTCTAAATTAAACAGATCAATGGTTGATTTTAACTTAATTTACTAAACAATTTCACATAGCAGTCTAGAGATTTTGAGCTTCTTTCATAAGAGTGTAGTCATCTGGAAGGATTCTGCTATTTGGTCCAATTTCTCTCTGTCTAATGTTATTACTAAAGAACATTGCAGAAACCTAGAAATTCCTATTTGTCACAAACCTACTGTTGAAGCAATTCACAGCAAATTAAAACATATTTTACTGTTTTACAATTAACTTGCTGTATTACATTGTGTGGAAAACATCATAACACTTTTTTCAACATAAAACTAGCATATCTGAGAGTCTTAGATTTATTCAATTTCCAGGTCCTGAATTTTTACTCCTGTGGTTAGGTAGCTCCATTCTGCTATAAACTTCAAGGTCTAGTGTGCTCAAGACCTCATAGATTTCTGTTTCTATTGTCTGATCTCTGCTGAGGTCAGAGAAAGCACGTGTATTATGAAGAGGTGACACTTAATTTTAATTAAGGTTCTAAAAACACAGTCTAAATAAAGAATGACAGTGTCCATAGCAACAATAAGATTAACATGCTACACAGTGTTTCTACTGTATAAATTTACTTAAAAAGATAAATTACTTTTAATGATGCCTGGAAAATATCTAATTTGAAATTGTTTCCTTCTCTTTTGAGGCCGAATTTGTTCTTAGAAATGTGAAGATATGAGAAGACTTCAAAAAGTTCATGAAAATGGAATGAAGATAAGCTTACTTTGGTGCAAAATACTTTTGAAATCTATGCATGTTTTTTATAAGTATTTTCCATGAATTTTTAAAGATCCCATATATATTATAATGAGACTTATCTAATATTATCTAAGAAGACTTCAGTGTCTAGCAGTAAAAGTTTATTTTTTCAAAATAATCCTAATGATGATATTAATGCACTCAGTTGCATTCAGTTTTACAGACTTACAAAGTAGCATGTGCCATCAAGTTCTCAATTATTTGTTACTTACTAGTTGACTTTTGGGGCAGGCATTTAGATTGGAGGTCGAGACGCCTGCTCCCACATCAGAGTATCTGATTCGATTCTGGGCTCCAGTTCCTGATTCTAGATCCTGGGAGGCAGAGATGACAGCTCAAGTAGTTGGGCTCCTTCCACCTAAGTGGGAGGAGTGACTGTATTCCCAGTTACTGACTTTGACCCTGCCTAGTCCCAGCTTTTTCTGAGCAGGTAGGGAGTGAACCAGAAAATGGGAGCTCCCTTTCTATCAATTTCTCTTTCAAAATTTTTTTTTGAAATTAAAAGTTTAACTTAATCATAATATAGATAACATCAAAATATATTATGCAACTTACCACATTATTATCTACATATATTTATTTTATATATTTGTAAGTGTAATTATGTTTACAAATAGCAAAACAAAATTTGAGGACCAGGCAAAATCTGTTACTTGGTTAGTGACTATATATTATGATGGAATTAAATTTCAAAATCGAATTATTAGGGTGAAAAATAATCTATGAATAATTTTTATGATTAAAAATTAAAGCAATGGGACCAGTGTCATGGTGTAACAGGTTAAGATGATGCATGAAATGCAGGCATCCCATATGGGCACCAGTTTGAGTCCTGGCTGCTCTGTTGCTGTGGATTTGTTCCGAAAGGAGGAGTGCAATGGAGGCAAGAGACGCAGAGTCACCACCCAGACACCAGGAGTCGGGTGAAAGCAGGTCAGAGGTGAGCAGCCTGCAGACTCATTTATTTCAGTTGGTACAGCAGCTTAAATAGTCAAGGCAGCCAATCTAGTCAAGGGGCGATTTATGCCCTAACCAATCACAGCCTGTTGCCAGGCAGGCTCTGTTGCCAGGTGGGTTTCGAAGCCATGCCTGAGTAACTGACACTTATTTGCCAGTGGCCATCTTGGCATGACCTTCTCATTCCACCACACTGCTCCACTTCCAACCCAGCTCTCTCCTAATATGCTGGGAAAGCAATGGAGACGGCCCAACTGCTTGGGGCCCTGAACCCATGTGGGAGCCCCAGAAGAACCTCCTGGCCCCTGGCTTTGACCTGGCTCAGGTCTGGTAGTTACAGCCATTTGGGAGTGAACCAGCAGATGGGAGATATCTCTCTCTCTCTCAACTCTACCTCTCAAATAAATAAATAAACCTTTAAAACAAAAAACAAAAATTAAGCATTTTATATAGAATATTGATTTATAATATCTTTAATTCCAGGTATAGATATTCTGATTTTACCAGAACTTAAGAATATGAATATTACTTTACTTCAGATTTTGATGGAACATTATTTATATAAATTTTCTGTTTCTTTCCACAGCTTATATTTAGCCAGCCTCAAATTTTATTTATTAGTCATATTTGGAGGTTTTTTTCTTCTACTTTAGCACAGCAAATTTTAAAATAAAAAAAGAAAGGAGGAGAGAGGATGGAAACTGATCATCTATCCAAAATAGAACACATACAAAATCAGCCAACAAATTGTCAACTGTCTCTTCCACTTTGATTTTGTGGACTATGTAAGCATTACTTACAAGTGATGCAATTCCTCTTATATTTAAAAATATACCCTTATATTTGCATTAATAGAAAAATGTTAAAGTATTAAATATTTCTCAATTCTGGTTATATTTAACAAGAAATTTATTTCATATAAACATAATAACACCCAAGTTTATTCCCAGTAGTCTATTTCCTAAGTGTTTTCTTCTACTTTAATTTTTTTAAAGATTTATTTTATTAGGCCAGTGCCACAGCTCACTAGGCTAATCCTCCGCCTACAGCGCAGGCACCCCAGGGTTCTAGTCCCGGTTGGGGCACTGGATTCTGTCCCAATTGCTCCTCTTCCAGTCCAGCTCTCTGCTGTGGCCCGGGAAGGCAGTGGAGGATGGCCCAAGTGCTTGGGTCCCTGCACCCGCATGGGAGACCAGGAGGAGGCACCTGGCTCCTGGATTTGAATCAGTGCAGGTGCCGGCCGTAGCAGCCATTTGGGGGGTGAACCAATGGAGGGAAGACCTTTCTCTCTCTCCCTCTCTCTCTCTCTCTCTCTCTCTCTCTCTCTCTCTCTCTTTTGTGTAAATAAATATATTTATAACTTTATTCAATACCACAGTTTCCACCCAGCATTTTTTATTCATATTTAATGCTACATAGTGATTTAAACAATTTAATTAAGTTTATAGCAGATTTCTGAGTCTCACCACAATTAACCACAATTATTTTGTTGTGTATGAAATACAGAGAACTCAATAAAGCTGTTCTTCTCCATAGCGCTAGGGTTGTGCTGTTGCCCTCACCCTACTGATGACATTGAACCATTCTTTTGGATAGACCAAACCATAGCATACAGGAGTGTCTGATAGTCACTTGCCTGTTTGCTAATTCAAGTGAGCTACCCAGAAAGGAAGTAAACAGAACACAGAAATTAGAGAGCAGCATCAAGTCCAGGATAGGGCCTCCTTTTATGACACATTCCAAAAACTTCCTTCCATAGCAGATCAGCACTCAGGTGTAATATAAACTATCAGCTAACTAGGAATACAAACAGGTTTTTACTTTCTTCAGTTAGAGTAAAACTCTTCATAGTTTATTCCATTTGAAGACACAATATTTTCGTGTTTTAGTAATACAAGGAGAAAAACACTTTACAGGTAGCAGCGAGCTCTTCAGAAGGCATTGTCACACTAGGGTGGAAGAAACCAGAGGTGTTATGTTCAAACTCATCTAATATGCACAAAAAATGTGATGAAAAAAATGAAAACCACAACGAACAGACAAATGATATGGATGAAGAAGTTGAACATAAAATATTAACTGCCAAGTGGAATATTACATTTTAGAATACTTGATATAATTTTTAAATAAAAGTCTATTTTGTTTTAAAAGTACAATTAAGAAAAACAAGTATTTCCATTGGATCTTCATTCATCAATATTGTATGTAATTGTTTACATATGTAAACAGTGTGAAGTATTTGGAAAATATTTTTGTATTACGTATTCTGAAAATAGTTGACATATTTAATGATGCAAAAATTGATTTTCATGAAATATTTAACATGTCACACATTAGTGCCTGTCAAAAAAAAAAAGATTTCTTTTATTTGAAAGTCAGAGTTACACAGAGAGAGGAGAGGCAGAGAGAGAGACAGAGAGAGGTCTTGCATCCATTAATTCACTCCCCAGTTGGCCCCAACAGCCGGAGCTGCGCCAATCCGAAGCCAGGAGCCAGGAGCTTCTTCTAGGTCTCCCACATGGGTGCTGGGGCCCAAGAACTATGGCCATCCTCCACTGCCTTCCCAGGCCATAGCAGAGAGCTTGATCAGAAGTGGAGCAGCTGGGTCTCAAACTGGCACCCATATGGGATGCCGGCGCTTCAGGCCAGGGCGTTAACCTTCTGTGCCTCAGCGCTGTCATATTTTAATTTTTTTAAAAGATTTATTTATTTGAATGTCAGAGTCACAGAGAGGCAGAGGTAGAGGCAGGAGAGGGAGAGATGTCTTTCATATATTGGTTCACTTCCCAAATGGCCCCAATCCAAAGACAGGAGCCTAGAGCTTCTTCCAGGTCTCCCATTGCTTTCCCAGGCCATAGCAGAGAGATGGATCGGAAGTGAAGCTGCCAGGACTCAAACAGGTGACCATATAGGATACTGGCACTGCAGGTGGTAGCTTTACCCGCTATGCCACAGTGCCAGCCCACTACTTAAATTTTGGCATATAAAAATTGAATATAAAATAACAGGCAACATACTACATTGAATTTTAAAGATTTACTACTTAATTCCTTTTCAATTTACCTATGAAATTTCTATCTATTATATTCAAATTTTTATGTCTCCTGTTACTGGCTCAGTAGTAGTAATTCTATTTCTAATTAAAATTTTTAAGGATTTTTTAATTATTTGGGAGGCAGAGTGACAGAGACACAGATCTTCCATCTGCTGGTTCACCGCTCAGATGGCTGCAAAGGCCAGAGCTGAATCAGATGAAACAAACATCCAAGCTGGATCAGAAGCAGAGCAGCTGGGACTCAAACCAGCACTCTGATATGGAATGCCAGCATCCTGCATGGTACTTTAACCCACTCAGCCACAATGCCTGCCCCGTGAATTAGAATTATTAGCTAACAAATGTAGAATTAGAAAAAGCATATCCAGAGAGGTTAAAATAAACTTTTCTTAATATGAAACAGTGACATATTTAAAAATTATAATAAAAACCAGGGGGCTGGCACTGTGGTACAGCAGGTAAAGCCACTGTCTGTAGTGCCAGCATCCCATATGGACACCAGTTGGAGTCCTGGCTGCCCCACTTCTGATCTAGCTCTCTGCTATGGCCTGGGAAAGCCATAGAAGATGGCCCAAGTCCTTGGGCCCCTGCACCCATGTGGGAGACCTGGAAGAAGCTCCTGGCTCCTGGCTTTGGATTGGCGCAGCTTCAGCTGTTGCAGCCATCTGGAGAGTGAACCAGCAGATGGAAGATATCTCTCTCTCTCTCTCTGCCTCTGCCTCTCTGTAATTCTGCCTTTCAAATAAAATAAATGCATCTTAAAAAAATCAATTTGTTAGTTAAATATTTCTTGATGTACTCTTAAAACATTGAGCTCCCTTTATTTATTACAAACAATGAAACTGTTGTACAAAACTAATCAAATCCCCGTCGATTCAACTACATACGTTTTAAAAGTTTTTAAGATATGCAAAATGACGTAAAAAATGAAAGACTCATTACCTTAGAATCAAAAGTAGTTGATTATAAACTTTACCCAACCAAGTAGAAGATAATTGTCATTTTGCTATTGTATTCTTAGTGGAACATTGTCAAGAACATTTGACATTTCTTAAATTCTCAAATTCGCATCTCATTTGTCTTTCTTTATGAAATTCATATTGATATGTTAAATTCCAGAAAGGGAAGAAGAGGATGGCCACAGTTCTATTAAAATACGTGTATTTATAAATGACTTGCATGGTATGAAAGGATCCTTAATTTTCAAAAGAAAACATGTTCTGTTTTCCTCATATCTTTTACTTTCTCTACTGTCTAATGATACCCAACTAATTTAGGATCCTAAGGAATATAATTAAATAATTTCCCCACTGTTGGAGAATCAGGGCTCTTATATTAGAATGGGAAACAGCAGATGAATATAAAGCTGCTAAATTCAAATAATTTCAAAAGTCAGAAATCATTTTTTTCGCAAATTTAAAGTGGCAATCTTTTGATTAGAATATGTTTTCAATGATTTTATAAAAATTCTACCGAAAGGAAGGGTATTGAATTAACATTTTCAGCCAACTATGCTTTAAAAGGCTATGTTTTATAGAAGAAAAGTGGGAGTATCAATAGGTGTGGTGTTACAAATTTAAAACACTGAGCCTTTCTGGCATAATAAAACAAGCTTTCCTTCACCCCTGAGTTGCTCTTACCTAGTCAACCCTATTATGATTTTCCATTTCAGAGTGAAAGCCTCAAGTTGCATAGATCATTTCATTGCAAATGTTAGATTGTCCTTTAATTCATACAGACAATAGATCTTCTGAATAGAGATGCATGCTCTGTATTCCCTAGCTGATAGCGTTAGATTCTACAAGAATCATGGGAATTTTTAATAATAGTTGAGGTTCCATTAAACTTAGTTCTCAAATGACTTAGAGTTTATTCATCAAATAATTCAGAGTATAAAAGTAGCACATAAACATTAATTGAACAGCCATTAAGCAGTATGACTGTTTGGTTTTGGTTGATAGAGGACATAAAGCTTTGTACCCTGTGGTGAAAAACAATTAGGCCTTATGATGCACATGTCATTAAATATTATACTACCACACTTAGACCAGTTTCACTTTACAAATCAGCAGTCAGCTGTAGTCAGAAGCTTGCCCAAGTCATAGGAAGTCATATTTTTATTGCCATGTCTTATCTGCTTATAAATGTTGTCATGTGCCTTATGCTAATGGCAATGACTAATGGTTGTCTTTATAACTTCATTCAATCTCATAAAAAAGCTTCCTCAGGAGATACCAATCATAACTAGAGTGCTGCTTAAACTATTTTTCTGAAACAAAATAGAAAAAGCAATTACCTACAAAAAGTTGAATAGATAACTTATTTTGTTCAGAAAATATCTGACAACTTCTATTGTTGAATTTGCCATGAGGCAAATTGATATCCCAAATAAGAATGCCTACTAGGTGCCTATATGTATGATGATCTAACCCTTTAAAGTTGTTCTGCTCATCTGCACCTAGGTGAAGATGTACGATAGAAAAACAAGTTGGAATAAATTTGAACGTGGTTGTCTGGAAGCTCAATGTTTCTAACAATGGAGGTAAGTCCCTTTGTGCATTTGTGATTTCAATTTTGAATTCTGTTGACAAGACAGGTACAGATACCTCATTATGGACACTAACATAAATGTTTAATCATTGAAGCAGCTGTTTGTTTCAGATGGAAGCTAAGCGGGACATTAAATTAATGTAAACAAATGAGAAAATTTTTTGATTGTACTGTACATTGCTCTAGCATAGCAGTAATGTGCAAATGATTTGTATGTCTGGGATGACTAGAATTTTAAGTTATAAATTCCTAAACCAAATACCAAAACCAAAAACCAAACAATAAGGAAATATATGTTGTTTCAAGAATATGATGAATGTTCATATCACTTCTGATAATAGGGTGGGAGATAGAAAATTCCTGGGAGGAAGAAATGTTGTCTACCATACGTGATGGATCTTTATAGAGACTTTGTCTAAAGAGTTATTGTAGACATCCTTCCAAATAGCACCTTTCTGTATTTGAGATGTCCAGTTTTTTGGGTTTTTTTTGTTGTTGTTGTTGTTGTTTTTTTTTTTCTGACAGAACTAGGATATATTTGGGCTTTAAATGTTTGTAGAACAAAATGGGATGGAATGGAGCACAATGGAACAGAACACAATAAAAAGGGACCATGATTTTTTTTTTTTTTGCTCTCTTGAAATTATAATTTGTTCTAAAACAAAAGGAGATAGAAATGTATGGCTAAATGTGTAGATGATTCAGAAGGAAGCTTCTATTTTCTTCTTTATAAATCCTGTACTTAAAGAGAATAATGAATATAACATGGCATATGTGTGTTCCATGAGACAGGAAATGGTGAAATATGTTTCAGAATCTCTTTTTGCTTTAAAAGTACTTAAATAATTTTTAAATCAAAGTGCATTTCTCAGGAACCAACCTTCACAAAGACCTTAGCATATATGTGAAGGAAGTTATAAGATCTATAGAAACACCATGCCTCCTTCTGTGTTGTCTCAGAAGAGTTTTAAAGAAGACAGTACCTTATTTTTGTGCCCCTCTTAAATCTGATCTGTACTTAACCTCTTCCCAAAGAGTTCCATGTAAAATCTCCTACAGGACATAACACACTCTTCAGAGACGGCTTTTGACCACAAAGCTTATCATAGATAGAGTGACTGTGTATCCTGGTTTACACCTGTTGAGCCAATATAATTATTGCTAGCACTACTTTTCACTCTCACATTTGTCCTTGGGTAACAGGTAGTGGTAACTGTTTATAAATAATAATAAATAACCCATATTGAAAGTTTACTATTTGTCATAGACTTTGAGATGATTTCACATATAATCAGTTCTTCATAATAACCCACTGAGGTAGGTATTTTATTGTCTCTGCTGGTGGAATGGCATAGCCTATTCTGAATAAGCAAACATGATCCAGACAAAGGTCTGATTCTGTAACTGCATACTCTATGACACAGGAAACTGTTTTCTTATTTGCTGATCAATATAATTAGCTTCCTTTTATTTAATACACTACAATATTACCAACAATTTTTTTATTATTCTTACCTATATAATTATGTGTATTTATAACTATGTTTTAAGAGACAGGAAAAAAGAATTGTTCTGAACTAAAAATCAGCTATGCTGCAATTCATAATGTTAATATTATTCTACTAATGAGAACTATAATTTATTGCATGACTGATTTATGCATGGAACTGTATTGGGACTTTTCTTGTGTTATGCTACTGACCCTTTAAATATTTATGAGTAAAAATATTTGAACACCATGAATGTATATGAATTGCTTTAGCCATTAGCCCTAAATTGGTCCACAAGTTTAAAATGAAGATTATGGAATTGAATCATTTCAGTAGCCCTATCCAACTCTGAAATTCTATGCCAAATGTTGTTGCGAGTAACTAATTATTAGAATATAAGATATAGAATCTGACTGCAAAGGAAAATTTTGTGGAGTAAAAGAGACTCCCCTAACTCTCTTATTTATATTGTTTGTTTTGTATTGAGTGCTCAATAAGGGGATATACTTTATATACTTGCTAACCTTTTGTTTTCTCCTTTTCATAGGTCAAGAAGAGAATTTGGATTTGATCAATGTAAGTTCAACTCCACTATGCTACAGAGAGCATCCTTCTCTGAAATTGTAGATTATCCTAATTTAGAAATTTTTGTGAAAATCAATATTAAATAGATAATCCATAATACTCACTGATACTCAAATTTGTTTCACCACTATATAAAGAATATGGCTATAAAAACACATGTCACATAGGCATTTGGCATAGCAGTTAAGATACCAATTGAAACACTGGCATCCCATACAGAAGTGCCTGTGTTCAACTCCCAGCTCCATTCCTGATTCCAGCTTTGTGCTAATGCATGCCCTGGGAGAAACAGATGATGGCTCAGGTTATTGTGCTCTTTACACCCATGTGGGAGACCTGGATTTCCTAGTTCACAGCTCAAAGCTGTCTGCTGTAAGCATCTGGGAAATGAACCAGCAGATGGAAGGTTCTCTCTCTCTCTCTCTGTCTCTGTTTGCCAGTCTCTCAAAAAAGATAAATAAATAAGTATTCAAAAACAGTTATCCAGTCTCTCAAAAAAGATAAATAAATAAGTATTCAAAAACAGTTATAATACTATTATATAGGGGTCACTGAAAGGAAATTCCTTGTCATTTTTTTCAAACAAAATATGTGGAAATTCTTACTAAGGCAAAGTAAGTTTGGTGTGCTGCAGAGAACAAGTTAATTATAAATTTGTGCCTATACCCAAAAGATAATTACAATTACATTGATGATACAAGAATATAAGTGCACAAATATGGATTCCATATTATAAAATTACAAAACACCAACTTATATAGTAGGATTTAAAGAGTGATTCTGAACAAGGCACTCATATCAATGTCATGTATAGTATCTTTTAAAAACTTAGATGCCAGGACCCTATCTGCATTGACAAAATAAATTTCTGCAGTTGGATCCTAGAAATTTGTATTTTTAAAACTCCGCAGGTGACTCTCATGTGCCCTATGGATAACAACCAGTGGATTAAAATACATATAGAATGTATTAACATGTCAATTTTGCAGACTGAAAAAGAAGTTAATTGAACCAGAAAATTAAAAATGATTTCCTAGAAGGGATGAGATTTCAATCAATGTCAGATATGGACAAAGGTAAGTGAAACATATTTTTCTTTGTAATTTCAAATAAAATCTTGTCTTTGGAGTTTTTCTCTGCATTTCAGATTCCTAATTATATTTGTATGGAATATATAATAAAACTTCTAAGAATACATGGAAGTGTTATTTTCTAAAATATCTATGTTAAATATAACTTTGATATGGCTACATGAAAATCAGGTTAAAAATCTTAAAAGTTAGTATGTTATTATAACTTTGTACTAGTACCCATAATAAGAAATTTAATCCCCACCCATAAATGCAATTTAGACTTCAAATTACCAAAGGGCAGGATCCATGTTTTTATTCAAATTTAGATCCTGAGATCTTACAGGGATAGTGTCCAGAATATGCACAATAATTATTTGCTGAATCCATAAGGTATCTGGATTTAATTGGTTTATTCAGTCCACCTTGCTTGGGATGCAGATTTCAATGCCCTCTGTTCAACAGATCAAGTATTTAGCTTTGAAGATTTGTTTGTTCATTTATTTGTTTCTTGATCTGGAACCAATGGGCTGGTAAAGACTTTCAGAATCATTAGCTTGTAAGGGTGAGAGTTTAGACTTTTTGTTTCTAAGGAAAAAATAATTGAAGGGAAGGAAACAAAGGTGGAAGGGAGGGGAGTGGGAAAGGGAACAAATGAGCCGCAAGCATCTTAACAGGGGAGTTCTTCCGCAGCAGTTCCCTAACAGCTGATAAATCCCTGTTCTCAGAACAGTCCCTCCACAGGGAGCAGCAAAGCCTCCAAACCGCTGCCAGACCAGGAGAGAGGCTTCCAGAGCTTCCCAGAGCTTCCCAAAACTCTCTCTGCTGACCACCCTCTCCCTTTTTGTGTGAGACCAAGCTGTTTCGTCATTGCTTTCCTGTGGGTTGTTATTAGAACTTTAAAGGAAGCTTTGGTCAAAAGGATCACAATCTTTATCTTATGCTGCATCATGTATCCCCAGGACCAGTCAAGTCAAGTTGCCTTAGCTTTTGTTATTATTGCAGAAAAAGATGTCAGAGGTTTATCCTTGAGTATAATTTTATAGTACTTTTGAGAAGACTTTAATCCTACCTAATAAATGCAATTTGGACTATAAACTACCAAAGGGGAGGATCCACATTTCATTCAAATTCAGATTCTGAGCTCCTAAGCAGAGGGATTCGTAACTATGATGTGTACAGTAAACGTTCGTTGAACAAATAAGGCGTTACTTTTAGAGTTTCATAGAATTTACTTTTAGAGCTTCATAGGGGAAAATAATAGGAAGAAGAAAGAATAAAAAGAAAGCATGACACGGATTGGAAAAGGGTATGGTGTGCTGATGACTGAAAGCTTTGATAACTAAATAAAATAAAGGTTGTTTCCTTTTTTTTTTTTTTAATGGAGGGTGACATTGTGGCATAGCAAGTAAAGATGCTGCCTGTGACAGCAGCATCCCATATGGGTGTTGGTTTGATTCCTGACTGCTCCACTTCTGATTCAGCTCCCTGGTAGTGCACCTGGGAAGGCAGCAGAGAACTGCTGGGCCCCTGGACCCATGTCGAAGACCTGGATGAATCTCATGGCACCTGGCTTCCACCTGACCCAGCTCCAGCCAGTGCGGCCATTCAGGGAGTGAACCAGCAGATGGAATATCTACCTTTCTCTCTCTCTCTTCTTTTCTCTCTCACTCTACCTTTAAAATAAATAAATCTTTTAAAAAATAAAAGCTTTGGTACCATGCATAGATGTGTGTAGGATTTGGATAGTAAGGGAGGAAGTGGGAGGCATCATACAGTGCCTAGTTATGGACTTGTAAAACATTTTGAGTGTGAAACAGCTTTGATAATCAAGACAGGCACTTAACTGGTATCAGGGAAGCAGCAGGTAAGATCAAGAAGACGGAGCTGGAGCAGAAACTGTTCTATCAGTATGGGATGCTTGCAAGCTCAAGTGCTACCTGGAGAAGTCCTGGTTGCTCACCTCCATTGATTGCTTGTGGTTAGTTGATGTGACATGCTACCTTAAAGGAGCTGTCGGTGAACTCTTGAGTCCATGCATCTTGTAATAGATGCATGGAATTCATAACGAGATCAAGCCTCAAGACTTCCACATTGCTAAGTGGAAACAGCAGTAATCATATTGGCTGCAAAATAACCTAGGGAACTGAAGTCTTGAGAACGTCTAGTTTAAGGAATATATCTACTCGTCCACTAATGAGTGGCTGGCTGTTGAGCCTCCCTCTCAAGGAGCTGATTGCCTCACTCCAGACAAGCCTGATTAGCATCAGGGTAAAACATACCTAAATAAATAATCCCATAATTCTTGATAAGCAATGATTGAACAGGGACATGTCTGACATAGTTTAATTCACAGTGGTATACACAAAAAAACCTGCCAATAAAATGAATTAACATGTTAAGGATGTTTAAGTGTGGATCATCACGTCGAATGGTGCAATTGTCATCTCTAGCACAGTAGTCACTGGTATTCAGTCAGTGGTGTGCTGGGGCTGGCACACACAAGCTCATGAAATCTGAATCTCAACTAGGTGAGAACTTCAGTGAGTCTGTTTATACCATGGAATTTGGGCAATGTGAGAAGCAGAGCTTATTGCTTTTCCTTTTTCAGAGAGCCAGTGAGCCAGTTTACCAGCACACCACTGAGTTACATGCACATTCTAGAGAAAAGGACGCAATATAATTGTATGCCACAATAATTAGGGATGTCTCAGGCTGAGTAAATATTTGAAGAATACAGTGCTTAAGAAACAATGTATTTTGTTAGACTGTCAAGGCTGAAATCTGTTATAAGCTATCAGTTAATGGAAGGTAACTATGCCTTCGCCGCTCATCCTCACAATGAGAATGCAATACTACTACCCCACAGTTTTGTTTTGATGACTAACGGAATTAGTATAAGTGATACACTTTAAAAAGTGCCTGAAGTGCTGAAGGTGTTACCTTAAACATATCCTATTTATATCAACGGGATATGAGACTATACAACTTCTTACAGTCTTCTAAAAGACTTTGCCTAATTTCAGTGTTATTTTCCTTTTTGAGCTTTTATATCTTTTAGAAGCCCATATTCGACCTCCACAGGTTTTCTAAAGATTTGTTAAGTGAAAGCACATCAAATCACTTTGAAATGGATAAAACACTATGTAAATGAAAGGTGGAATAATTATGTTAAAGGCATCATCTTGAATTGTCTTTATACTGCATCTTTGAAATGAGCATCGGATTTTTCTCTAGGCAGTTACTGCTTCTACAGAAACAAACACAGATGGTGACCAAACTTCCTAGTGAATAGTTTTAGGCAACATCATTTATCAAAATACCACAGGTCACTAAATGCACAGACTCAAAACAAGCCCACCTCTCAGTGTCAGGCTAGCATGGTAATTTAGGCAAATAACCCTCTGTTTGATAGTTCAAGTGTTTTCTGATATGTAAAATGCATTGGCACAACAAACAGAAAGTCTTACATGTAACTAAGGTTTATAAAATAGGATATTAAGATTGTAGTTTTGTAGAGAAAAAAAGAGTCAGTTTGTTTTCTTTGGTGAGCATTTCTAGCCAAATTTCAAACTAATATTGTTGGTTTTAAGTGTAGATGTCCCTATTACCTATTGACCTTCCCTCCAAAGTAAAGAAATGGGGACACATGTCTTAAAGATACTTTTTAGACCTACTAAGAACCCAGTCTTCAGGGTGCAAACTTCCTTGGTTCAGTGAGAGAGTCCTGTGGTTTCTAGAACTTAGCCTCTCCTAATTGAGTTTTGTCCTTGTTCTGAGCCCCTTTGCCCTTGAACCCATTTCTTGCCCTTCCTAGCTCAGCGAAAGGAGAGGAATCCCTGAGGCTTCCTCCCCAGAGCTGTTCCAGCTGGCGAGTAGCTGGCTTCTGCGCCCAGGGATTCAGGGCTGGAGACACTGGCAGGTAATTGAAGACAGAAGAAAGCAGAAGACAGGGCCGTTCTCTCAACGCTGTCTTTGCCTCCTGCACCTTCTTTGGCAGCCCCTATGTCTTCCCTGTACCACAACCCACTCACTCCTGCCACAGTGTAGCTCCTACCCGGAAACCAAGGCTCCTATCTAGAAGTCACATCCCCTTGTCCTGTGTCTTTTCAGCCTGGAGTTATGGCCTGCTCCTGTTATGGATTTCTGAGCTGTCACACCTTTCTCTGGTTGGTCTCCTTTCTTTCCTCAACTGTTTGCTGCTTTACCAATTGTCTGTTTTATAATTCTCCCATTTAAATACTTCAGCTGAATTCTGTTTTCCTTATTGGGCCCTTATTGAGCCAAGCTCTGACACAGGCCTCCTCCTCATAATGAATTCTTGGCAAAGCAACATTGTTGGAAGCTTAGCTCTTCACTACTCATGGTAATTACCTTAGAAATCCTTCGAGAGCATGCAACCGCTGTTCTCTTCGCAGCGCTTCCTTGTAGTTAAATGATGATTCTACCTTGAGCGTTCTCTGTGCCGTGGCCTTGAGATAGAAGCAGAGAGAAAGTATTTTTATTTCTGCTAACAATGAGTATTTTTAAAGACATTCAACCAGTACCCGTTATTATTAACCCACATGGTACCTCTTCTTCAGGCCCCATTCCTCACATACTTTGCAGGGAGTTCATTCACAGCTAGTCAGTCTATCAAATATCGGAGCCCTGCTTCCTATGTAACAAACGTCTCCAAGAACTAGTTCCCATATGCAAGTGACAGGAATGAAACACAGATATGTTATCTGCAACCACTCTAAAAAACTCTTCCTTCTTGTTTTCTTTCAAAGAAGGATATTTGTGTCCACAAAACAACTTCCTATCTATCTTAAAAATTTAACCGAGCTTCAAAATGCAAGGGGTCTTCAAAAAGTTCAGGAAAAATGTATATTATGAAGACTATTCATGGGTTTCAAAAAATTTTACACAAAAATATTTGTCTTTTAATTCTATTTTCCATGAAATTTTGAAGTACATACATACACACACACACACACACACACTTTATATCCTGAATCCAAATGTATGGGGCTGTCATTGTGGTGCAACAACTTAAGCCACCACTAGCATCCTATTCCAGAGTGCTGGCTTGGGTCTTGGCTGATCTGCTTCTGGCTCAGCTCTCTAATATGCTGGGAAAGGCACCGCAAAATGGCCCAAGTACTTGGGCCCCTGGGCCCCTGTCTCCAATGTGGGAGGCCAGCATGGACTTCCTGACTCCTGGCTTCAGCTTGGCCCAGCCCATGCTGCCACAATCATTTGGAAAGTGAACCAACAGACGGAAGATCCCCCCCCCTCTCTCTGCCACTATTCCTTTCAAATAAAATAAATATTCTTTTAAAAAATGTTGGCACTAGATTTATACATCCCATGGGTTTTTTAAACCTGTTTTGGATTTTGCATACTGACACATACATTTCTACGTTTAAAAATATAATATTTTTAAAGGTTTTCCATAAGTTTTTTCAAACATCCCATCCTATTGTATGGCTCCCTCCTCCTGAAATGATGTGCTTTTTCTTTTATGTTTTTCATTGTGTTATGAATTCTCAGCCAAAAAAAAAAAAAAAAACCCACATCTTTCAAGGAGCGCTTCCTCAATTCTCCCACTCAGTCTGGGCTTGTTCACGCTCTCACAGTGCATGATATGAAATGATACATTTATATTTCTCTGTTTCACATTGGACTCTAAACTCCTTAATGAAAGTGCTATATTTCATCTCTGTACTCCTAGTGCCTAGTAATTTACTTGGAATTTAGGAATGCTTATAAGTGTGTGAGTGTGTGTGTGTGTGTGTGTGTGTGTGTGTAGAGAGAGGGAGAAACTTTCTGAACAACAAAACATTCCGAAACTCTCATGTTGCACAAAAATTAGTACTAGAATGATGAAATATGAGGTTTTAAAGTTCTTTAGTACTAGAAATATTTTGCTAAGAAAAATACAGCTAGCAATTTCACAAAACTCCCATAAAAATATTTCTGTCTTTGGTGAGCAACATTAAGATGAACCTAAGGAAAACAGGCACGTGAAGGGAACGATAGCACTTTAACAAGGTTAGTACAAAGCTGCTCAAATGTTTACATTTTACCATTCTTCTCTAAAAGCTGCATCCTCTTCTATGTTTGTCTTCCTAAATTGAAACCCTTATTTTCAGTGTCCATCTAAATATATTCTCACTGCCTCCACCATCAATTAAGTAAATGCCATGTCTCTAACTCATTTCCTTTCAAAAGGATGAGCTCAGCCGCGCTCTGTGTATTCCATTTATAATGGCTCTCTTTGTACATTTTGGTCCATTGCCTCCGGTGTCATTTCTCATGCATCTGTTTATTCTGCCCAATTAGATTCAGAGCTTTGCGGTCAGAGGTACTTTTTCTTTTATATCTTCTCACAGCATGCTCACAGCATAGGTTTGAGAACTAAATGTCTTCTACATTTCACCAATATCTGTGCTGGTATTTTTAGTTCCTTTTCAAATGAACGTACTGGTGTTCTCACTGTGTAGAGGGAACCACGTGCATTTGATTACTCACACAGGGCATAGCTCTGGGATGATTTTTTTATTCCAGATCAGAGATTATGTGGGCTATTTGAGGAGCACAGGGACCCCAGGACTCTTTGTCATGTTTCTTTAAAACCAGGAATATCCTTAAGCTTCTCCTACTAAGGGACTCACTGTTGCCCTGCTAACAGTTTCTATCATTGCTAATTCATTCTATATCAGAAAATCTGTTCATTTCCATCATAGTATTCATGATGATTTATAATTATACACATAAGGGATGACAGAATAAGTTAGAAATAAATAAAAGCATCCATGTATAAAATATGTAGTATAATGATGTACAAAAATCTACAAAATAACCCATATGCATGAGTGCATATATGTGTGTGTGTTATGTTTTCATTTTATCTTCACCTCCACAGATTTTCTTCACCACTAAACATGCGAGCCTTTCTGAAAGCCTGGCACATAGTAGGTACTCACAAATATTGGTTGAATAAATAAGTGAATGAATTAATCTATGAGAACAAATAAGTATTTCTACTCTTTGATTACCAAACAAAAGTGTATGGGAGGGCTAACATTTTGGGTAGCAGGTTAAGCCACCACCTGCTATGCTAGCATCTTATATGGGTGCCAGTTTTGGCTGCTCTACTTCCAATTCAGTTTCCTCCAAATGCACCTAAGAACGCAGTGTAAGGTAGTCTAAGTACCTTGGCCCCTGCATCTACATGGGAGACCTGGATGAAGCTCCTGGCTCCTGGCTTCAGCCTAGCCTAGCCCCTGCCATTGTGGTCATTTAGGGAATGTGCCAGTGGACGCAAGATCTCTCTCTCTCTCCCTCCCTCTCTGTAACTCTGCCTTTCAAATACATAAGTCTTTTTTAAAAAAATGTTTAGAGGTGAGAATTTGAAGCAGAGTGGAAAACGAATCAATTTTCTTTTCACTATTCTAAAATTTCATAGGTTTATCAGGATTATAATCTGTCTCTTTCCAGACAAAAACTCCCAGATTCCTCTGTTTTTATCTGAAAAGAAGAAAGGCAAAGGCCAAAAAATCTCTACTGTCCCCTGTTGGTACTATCCATCAATAAAAACTACAAAGATTTTATTTTTAAAAATCCAGGGATTTCCAGCAAAAAACCTAAACTGACTGCACATTCCTGCATTGACTATTACAAATTCCTAGTTTTTTTTGTTTGTTTGTTTGTTTGTTTTTTTACCAGCACAGCCCTGTAATTGTCAGAACATATCTATAACATACACACTAGTGTTTACCTGAATAAAAGATACTGGTGATTAAGAAGAAAAAGTGGGTCATAAATACAGGATTTGGTCATGGATGTGGTGGACTGCAAGGACTGTGACCTAGACTGTCTGGTTCAGGTCTTGGTTCCACTGTTTTCTAGCTGTGAGGCTGTGTGCAAGTTATGAAATCTTACCTGCTTCTATAGTCTCCTTTGTAAAATGGAGATTATAATAGCACCTAGTCCACAGGACTTTTTTTTTAAATGAGTTATTTGAAAAAGCAGAGCAACAGAATTAGAAATGCAGAGAGAGAAAGAGAGAGAGAGAGAGAGAGAGAGAGAGATCTCCAATCTGCTGGTTCACTCTCTCAGTGCCCACAACAGCCAGGGCTGAGCCAGGCTAAGAGCTCCATCCAGGTCTCCCATGTGGGTGGCAGAGACTCAAGGACTTGAGCCATCACCTGCTGCCTTCCAGGATGTGCATTAGCAGGAAACTAAATGGGAAGCAGAGGTAGGACTCCATCCCAGGCACCCCAATGTAAGATGCAGGGATCCCAAGAGGCAGCTAAACTGGATGCACCGCAACACCCACCGAGGGCTTCTTTATTAGGACTAGATCAATCAAAATATGTAAAGCACTTGGAATATTGCCCAGCATCTAGGAAGTGCCCAGTAAGTGTTCACCATATTCTTATTCTCCAATATGCGATGTAGGCACCCTAAGTAGCATTTTAATCATGCTGAATACCCACTCCATGTCCTCTTGATAAACAAGTGTTCTTTAATTTTGCCCCTAACAGAAAATGTTTCCATGTATATCTTTCAAATACCTAACAGTGAAGATTACTCATTCATTCAGTTTCTTTCATGTCAAAAGTCTGTAGAATTGTTCATAACAATCAACTTTTTAGTACCCCCTAGCTTCACTCAGGAATCTCAACTGACTTAACAATGATTTTCAAAGTTATTCACCTGAAAGATATTTATATTCCCCATAGTTTAAATTTCTTTGACTTATCAGAAAAAGCATTATGCGGGGGAGCGCATCGTGGCACAGCAGGTTAAGCCACTACCTGTGATGCCAGCATCTGTTATGTGCACCTATTTTTGTCCCCACTGCTCCACTTCTGGTCCAGCTCCTATTAATGTACCTGGGAAAGCAGTATAGGATGGCCCAAGTGATTGGGCCTGTGCACCCATGTGGGAGACCTGGAAGAATCTCCTGGCTCCCAGATTTAGCATGGGAGACCAGGAGAAGCACCTGGCTCCTGGCTTTGGATCAGTGCAGTGCGCCGGCAGCAGCGGCCATTGTGGGGTGAACCAACCGAAAAGGAAGACCTTTCTCTGTCTCTCTCTCACTGTCCACTCTGTCTGTCAAAAAAAAAAAAAAAAAAAAAAAAAAAAAGATATGTCTTTACCCATCTTTGTAACTTGCCTTTCAAATGAACAATTACATCTCTAATCAAAAAAAGAAGAAGAAGAAGAAAAAAAAAGGAAAAAGCATTATTGGAGATGTCATTGTTGTGCACTGGATTAAGTTGCTGTCTGCAATGCCAACATATCAGAGTGCCAATTCAAGTCCCAGGTGCTCTGCTTCAAATCCAGCTCCCTGCTAATGCACACGGGAAAGCAGCAGTTGGGGCCAAAGCACTTGAGCCCCTGCCAACCATGTGGCGGACCCGGATGGAGTTCCTGGCTCCTGGCTTCAGCCTGTTCCATCCATTGCAGTTGCAGCCATCTGGGGAGGGATCCAAAGGAAAATCTCCCTGTCTCATTCTCTCTCTCTGTCATTCTGCATTTCAAAGAAAGTACTTGTTTTAAAAAAGGCATTATTAAATTTTACATATATCTCAACACCCTCCATCTTACTGCACCCTTTCCCACTTGTTTATTCTTTAAGAATGTGTGTATACACACACGTATATATATAACGAATATTTAGTTTTATTCTAGTACAGGCATTACACCGGGGACTCAGTGAAAAAAAAAAAAATTGAAAAACGGCAGTGAGCAAGACAAAGTCTCTGTTTTCATGAAGTCTAGACCTTTGAAAAGATTTGAAACAATAAACACATTACATTTCAATTACAAACTGAGATAGTTCTTATGCCTTAAATAAGCTTGAGCCAGAATAATGGGGGGTGGGGAGTGGAGAGGCTGAGGGCTGGATTAGGCCAATTGCAGAAGGCCTCTCTGAGGAAGTGACATTGAACACATGAAGAAAGCAAAGAAACAAGCTGTTCAGATTTCTAAGAAGAGAAGTGCTTCCCAGGCAGGAAGAACAGCAGTGCAGGAGCTGCGCTATAGAGAAGCACACATACTGTGCTATACACCGCTGAGTCGGGAGCTGGGCACTGGTGAGCAATGGGGAGAATGGCCTGCGAAGAGCTTGGGGGGACAGGTGTTTCTCCCATCATTCAGTGTTTTCTGACCTGGACATTCTCCAGGGCACTGTGGAAAGGTATGTACTGAGTTGGATTTGTGGCACAGAAGGTGCCGCCACTGTTTGAGATGCCAACATCTCATATCAGCATGCCAATTCGAGTTCCAGCTACTCCCTTCCCATCCAGCGTCCTGCTGATGGACCTGGGAAAGCCGCAGATGACCGAAGTACTGGGGTTCTTACCACCAATGAGGGAGACCAAGGTGGAATCCCAGGCTCCTGGTTTTGACCTGGACCAGCCTGGCTGTTGCAGACATTTGGTTAGTGAACCAGTGGATGGAAGATCTTTCTCTCCCCCACCCCACTTCCTCCCTCTGTGTGTTTGGGGGGAGGGAGAGACTCTGCCTTTCAAATCAATTAATCCTTTAAATATTATTTAAATAAAGAGGGAGTATGAGACAATAATACATGGTTCAAAGATAACCATGGTTGCTATTTAGAAAATGTGTGTGAAGTAGTAAGACTAAAATAAATAACCTTGCAGAATAAATGAAGTTAAGATTATGCAAGCCTGATTGGAGTACTTCCAGTTAAAGGTACTTGCAATACAAATGTAAGCGTTAGCAATGTATGTATGGAACATCGTATATGCGAGAGGCCTAGAAGAAAAAATAAGAGAATTTCATAGTACATTGGATTGGAAAGGGAGAGACCATGTTTTTGGATAATAATTTTATTTATTGAGAAGGAAAAAAAAATGAGGAAGTAGCAGGAGTTCTGTCTTGGTAAAGTTAATTTCATGATACTTACGTGACACCTCAATAGAGATGTTAAATAGGCATTTGGTTACACTGATGAGAAGTTGCTGTATAAATGAATCAAAAATAGCCTCTGTGTATTGGACTCTCGGTTGCTTTTTCTTCTCTGCAAGATGAGACTTGTTTAAATAAAAAAAAGCCCACCAGAGGAAAAAAAATCAAATTTTTACACATGCATTTATTTGTGACATAGCCTACCTACTGTCTATTTTAAGATAGGATTATACTCTGTCTCCTGCTTCGATACAAAAACGGTGTTAGAATGTCTACCGTCTTCTCTGTTTATGTCATTTTTCCATATTTTTGCTTTGCCATATATTATTATCTGATAGAGTGCTAAGTAAATATTTTATAAATGACTGAATAAACAAATGCATGAATGGACATTATGACCATATTAGGATTACTATGGAAAACTGTAGTTACGTTTACATGGTGATAGAAGACCTCAGGTGGTTGGGGAAAGTTAGGATATTTTTGTTTTCTTGATGTTATGACTGTCTATTCCTTCTTTTCAATGAAGTTAGATCGTACTCTACCCTAAATAAAAATATTGGAATATTGGGCTCATATACATTGTACCACAGGAACTATACAGATAACAGAATATGAAAATATGTCAATTATAAATGCTGCTAGTTTCATAAAATCTCAAGATGGAATAACACTGAGGACTTATTAAAAATTTATCTCATGGGGCCGGCACTGTGGCATAGCAGTCAAGGTTGCCCTCTGCAGTGCCAGAATCCCATATGCTTGCTGGTTTGAGTCCCAGCTGCTCCACTTTCCCATCCGGCTCTCTGCTATGGCCCAGGAAAGCAGAAGATGGCCTGAGTCCTTGGGCCTGCACCTGTGCAGGAGTCACAGAGGAAGTTCCTGGCTCCTGGCTTCGGATTGGCCAAGCTCCAGCTGTTGCAGCCATTTGGGAGTGAACCAGTGGATGGAAGAACTCTCTCTTTCTCTCTGCCTCTGCCTCTCTGTAACACTTTCAAATAAATAAATAAATCTTAAATGTATCTCATATCATTATAATAATTTAATTATACCTCTTTAGAATAAATTTAAAACAAAGAAAAATGGTATTTTTATTCGATTCTAAGACCTGAATTTAAGTCGCCTCTGAGACAACTTTCTGTTCTTAATTACAACCTTCTTTTTGTGATAACAGCACTGTTAGCTTTTGATTTTCATTAGGGGGACATGGCTGTTCCAAACACATTAGGAGTTAGATCACTGTTTCCATATGTTTTTTGAAGATACTTGTTCATAATTCACACATTGGCAATTAAAAAGAAAAAGAGAAAAACTAACATTACAGAAGTCTATGACATCTATATTATGGAATGTAATGACTAAGATATAATAAGTGTTCATAAATACTTCATTGCAAAACTAAATAAATGCAATGAATAAAAGATCATGGGTGTTAACTGAGTACAAACTTAAAACTGCAACGGATGGTGAAGCACAGAAACATAGAAGCATAGAAACATAGAAGCATAGAAACGGATGGTGCAGCATAGTTAGTTTCCTTAACTATGAACCAACACTGGTTGTAAGACACATTACCTATTTAATGAAAATCATTCAGTAGAAAAGATGAATAATCAGTAATTTTATATTGATTATGAGAAGCACCTCAGGTCAAATTTTAAAATTAAATAAGTGCATCTTAGAAATGATTTTTTAAAATCCTGCATCACAACTAATACTTGAAAAGAACTCATTTATATTGCAGACAGGAATGGTTAACAAATGTTAGAGTTCTGCATTTATGTTATGTAATTATCTACAATTATAGATAATTACATAATAACTTCCACAAACATGTTTTATTGACATTGATGTCTGTTTGTGAAAATACTGAGCGAGGTTGGTCTCTCCTTTGAGATATAAAAAGTAAATTTATAAACTTGTATATGGAAATCCCCACATACCAATTTATTGTTGCTATAAGTAAACATGTCAAATGACTTAGTATTTATAGAAAAATTTCACTTTCATTTTTCAAGGATCTTATTCCTTAAAATCATAAGAGCAAATTTATGAAGAAATTATATATATTTCAATGCATATTCTATCTGTCCTTTCTTGCTGAAAACTTAGACAAAGAAGAGCCCAAATATCTAGTAAACTTTACTGGTTCTTAAAAACTATAAAGTGGCCGGCGCCGTGGCTCACTAGGCTAATCCTCCGCCTTGCGGCGCCGGCACACCGGGTTCTAGTCCTGGTCGGGGTGCCGGATTCTGTCCCGGTTGCCCCTCTTCCAGGCCAGCTCTCTGCTGTGGCCAGGGAGTGCAGTGGAGGATGGCCCAAGTGCTTGGGCCCTGCACCCCATGGGAGACCAGGATAAGTACCTGGCTCCTGCCTTCAGATCAGCGCGGTGCGCTGGCCGCAACGTGCCGGCCATGGCGGCCATTGGAGGGTAAACCAACGGCAAAAAGAAGACCTTTCTCTCTGTCTCTCTCTCACTGTCCACTCTGCATGTCAAAAAAAAAAAAAAAAAAAAAAAAAAAAAAAACTATAAAGTGAATATTCCTGGTTAGTGAAGGTAATGTTGTAGATGCCAAAGAACTTTATAGATTTTCTAAATAATTTAAAATCCATATTACAAAAGGGCATATTGTTTTTCTAAAAGTTTTTTTTTCGTTAATTGGAAAAAGAGAGATACCCCATCCACCACTTCACTCCCCAAATGCCCACAGCTGCTTGGGTAGGGCCAACCATAGACATGAGCCCAAAATTCAATCCAGGTCTCCCACATGGGTGACTGGGACCATCATTTGCTGCCTCTCATGTGTGTATTAGCTATAAGCTTGGCCAATCACTACCCTAAAAGTCATATTCTTCAAACTCTGGAGTTCAAGAAACAATAATCATCTTCCTAATAATGATCAATAAACATGTATGGAATGACCACTCCATAATTACTTAATTGTATTATTTTTGCATATCCATAATAAGGCCCATTTGTGAGAACTTTTAAAACTTCATAGAAGGGGCTGGGACCAGTGATATTGCACAGTGGGTTAGGCTATCATCTACACAATGGGTCAGGTTAGCATCCCATCTGGGCTAGGGTTTGTTTCCCAGCTGCTCCACTTCCCATCTGGCTCCTTGCTCATGTGCCTGGGAAAGCAGCAGAGGATGGCTCAAGTCACTGGGCCAATGCACCCACATGGAAGACCCCGAAGAAGCTCTTGGCTCCTGGCTTTGGCCTGGCTCAGCCGCAGTCATGTGGCCACTTGGGGAGTGAACCAGCAGATGGAAGATGTCTCTTTCCTTCTCTGTAACCCTGCCTAAACAAAAAAAGCTCATACAAAATGGGAATTAAAGGTATTTATTTTGGTGCCATAAACTTGATATCCATGCATAGTTTTGATAATATACATTTTCATTAACTTTTCAATGACCCATTGAATGCATTGATTTTAAGATTTTTGCAGCAAAATAAGTTTATCTTATAACTGTATTTTCCATAAACTTTAAACATCAGCATATAATTTTTATAGTTATATATAATAAAATATCCTCTAGATGTGAGAAGTAGACCATGCATCTTTTTAGACTCACAAAAATAACTACAGAAGAAACAGAGTAGTTGTCCTCTGTGGGACAGACACATGCTGTACAATGTGGCCTGGAAGCCATCTGTACACTCCTCTAGATCTGTGAGCTAAGGACTCTGGACACAAAATGTTTTAAAGCACATGGTACTCTAGGGCCTTGTTTAATGTTCAGTGTACAAAAAAGTACCTGTGTTTACAGTACCTTCCATCTGCTAGTTCACTCCCCAAATGATCGCAAAAGTCAGATCTGGGCCAGGCCAAAGTCAGGAGTAGTAACTAAATTCTGGTTTCCCATTTGGGTAGCAGGGGCTCAAGCAATTGAGCCATCCTCTTCTGCTTTCTCAGGTACATAGCAGAGAGCTGAGTGGGAAGCAGAGGCACCAGGACTCAAACAAGCAGTCCAACATGGGATTCTGGAGTCCCAATTTCCAATTTAATGCACTATGCCATAATATCCCTCCCTGAAATCGATTTTCATATGAGGCTTAGTAGTTGGTTCTGAGAGCAATTACAGAAGTAGATTAGAACATGTGTGGTAGAACATGATGGAATTGTGTAAATATGCCTACTTTGGAGAAGTAAATATAACTTCTAATAATTTCTATTTTAAAAGTATTCTTGGCACATTTAGTGTAAAGTTCATGGGGAAAGGCATTAGAAGATAAATTTTTGTGCAAAAATTTGAAATCCTTGTATTTAATGGATCATCAACAACTTCATAAAAATTCCATATTATGAAAATACTTTACATAAAAGTCAAAACTTTTTGTACCAAAATAAACTTGTAATTCCATCTTTAAATTCACTTTTAGAAGTACTATCTTTCAATGAATTCAAGCAAATAATTTAAATATGTAAAATCCTCAGGTTAAAGACTGCAGATAATAAGGGAAATAAACAAATAAGGAAGTGATGCCCGATATTCTACTTATCCAAAGTAAAGATGAACTCCAAAAAATTTATCACATGAAACAAACAAACATGAGGCTGCTGTTACTGACAGGATGGTGATAGGCATTGTCATATCTTTTAATATTTTGTAAACTCCCGAGATGTTCCTTGATGTATATTCTACACACTTTAGGACTTCCCACACACATTAAATAATTTAAAAATAGACACAGTTTGACTTCAATCAGATGTGGGTTTGAATATTAGACCATGTATGGAAAAGTTATCTAACATGTCTAAGTTTCAGTTTTTTCATCCATAAAATTTTAGAATTGATAACATTAAGTGTGACAGTGCAAAGAATGCATTTAGCTCAATACGTAGCACAACCCAATTAAATGGTATTGATTTATTTCATAACTAGAATTTAAACATTCTAATTTTTTTAACTTGTGAAAGCACTGTTCATCTCTGTCTTTGTGTAGAACTTTTATTAATTCCTTCCACCAGCAATCTAACCAGTATGTACTGAATATATCTTAAGTATAGACTACTATTGCAGAGAGTAGGGAAAACAAAGTTGAAATAGATATGGTATACTGGGGCCAGCGCTGTGGCACAGTGAGTTAATGCCCTGGTCTGAAGTGTCAGCATCCCATATGAGCGCTGGTTCTAGTCCCGGCTGCTCCTCTTCCGATCCAGCTCTCTGCTATGGCCTGAGAAATCAGTAGAAGATGGCCCAAGTCCTTAGACCCCTGACCCATGTGGGAGACCAGGAAGAAGTTCCTGGCTTCTGAACTGCTTAGCTCTGGGCGTTGCGGCCATCTGAGGAGTGAACCAGTGAATGGAAGACCTCTCTCTCTCTCTGTGTCTACCTCTGTCTGTAACTCTTTCAAATAAGTAAGAATAAATCTTTAAAAAAAAAGAAATAGATATGGTATACTCTCAGCTTATGGTTCATTGGAGAAATAAAAGTAATACCATATTATAACCATAAGGAAAATATCCAATAAGGACACACATCAACTATAGAGCCCTACATAGAGGCTAATTCTGAAAGGGGCAAAGAAATGCTTTAGGTTAAGGGATTCTGGAAGGGAGAATTGGAGACTGTCTCGAGGAAATGTTTAGAAGGAATGGTTTAAATGACAGGAATATTATAAACCAAAGGAAAGATATCCAAAAACAGAATATTTTCAGGGAAGTAGAATTGGTTTACAGTTTCTGTTGTAAAAAGAAAATCATAATTAGAATGCAGAGCCTGAACAGATTTGTGAGGGCTGAAATACTTAGTGAATAACACTGGATAGGCAATGGTAATCCAGTGAAAGTGAATTATGGGTACATTTCAGGAAACCTAACCTGGAATCACCTCATAGTTTGTTTTAGAGAAAGAAAAGATTGGAAGCAAAAGACGAATAATGGGCAGGCATCTGGTATAGGGATGCCTGCATCCCATATCAGAGTGTCTAGGTTCGAGTTCCACCTTCAGTCACAGTTCCAGCAACCTGTTGATGCATACCCTGGTTGGCAGCAAGTGTGGACTCAAATACTTGAGTCCCTGCCACACATAAAGAATCAGATTGAATTCCTTGCTGCAGGCTTTTTCTTGGCCCAGCTTCAGCTATTGTGGGCATTCGGGAAATGAACTAGCAGAGAGAAGGTTAAATGATAACTTACCATTTAATGATCTTCAGACCTTGTGTTTCCATATCAAGAACAAGAATATAACTTAATTTTTGTACTTTTGTGAAGTAGCTTCAGCATGCAAATGGAGATAACCAAAGTTAAACACTTTAACTCAACTGAATGAGCCATAAACAGGTCTTGTTTGTGAAAGTAGGAAGACATAAATGAATATGAGAGAAGGACTTGAAAATAACTAATGTAAAGCTCACTTTGCCGTTTCTTGTGTTTTCTGATATTGACTGCCATCTTTCTTTAGTGTTTTCTATTGTCATGACAAATTCCTATCTCCACTCATCTGATCCCTGACTTGTCTATTAAAGGAATATTTTCTTCAAATCATTTCTGCAACATGTGGATGAGTAGATAGAGTTCAGCATGAGAAGAAGAAAAACACATTTTTTTCAGATTATTGGTCAATCTCAAGATGAGAGAGTAAATCACTTTGGGTGAGTAACTATTGTGTTGACTCTATACTCCTTCAAGTCAGATAAGTAAGAATAATAAATAGGGTCCTAAGAAAAATGTAAAAATCAGACTACCTAAGGTCTCAATATTGTTCTGTGTTATACAAGAGTAGGACACTATGCAACAAATGGAATATCTTCACATGTTGAGTTGGTTATAGGTGTTGAACATGACTATAAAATAAAATTTTCTTTATCATTAACTGTCCCTTTTATAATTTTGTAACAATTTTTAATGTAAACAAATTTCATGTATTTTTATATACAGATTTAGGAGCATACTGAAGCTTCCAACTCTACATTCCCTCCTGCCACACTCCCACCCAACCTCCTCCCTCCTCTTATTCCCTCTTTTTTAAAAAATGATCTTTTTTTTTTTACTTTATTCTCATAAGATTAAACCTACACTATGTAAAGAGTTCAACAATAGTATGAAGGAAAAAACACTGTTTCTCAACAGTAGAGACAAGGCCTGTAGTCAATCATTTGGATCTCAAAATATTAATTTCAGTTCTATACATTATTCTTTTGGTACTCTATTTTAACACATATCAGGGAAAACATATGGTATTCATCTTTTTGGGACTAGTTATTTCACTAAGTGTAATGGTTCCCAGTTGCATCCATTTGAGATTCTTGAGTTGTTAATTTTCAACTTCATTGCATTATGATCATAAAAGTGGCATGCTCATGGTATGATTTTAATTTTTTTGAATTTGCTGAGACTTGCTTTATGGCCTAGCATATTCTAGAGAAAGTTCCATATGCTGATGAAAAGAATATATATGCTACAATTGTGAGATGAAAGGTTCTATAGATATCAGTTAGGGCCATTTGGTCCATAGTGTAGATTAGCTCTGTTGTTTTCTTTGTTGATTTTCTGTCTGGTTCATTTGTGCATTGATGAAAGTAGGGTGTTGACATCCCCCATTACTGTTGTATTGGAGGCTTTCTCTCTTTAGGTAAATTAACATTTGTTTTAAATAGCCAATTACTTGGCATTGGGTGCATATACATTTATTATAGTCACATCTTCCTGTTGAATTGATCCTTTATTCATTACATAATGAACTTGTGTTAACCATTTTTGTGTGAAAGTCTATTTTGTCTGATATCAGAATGGCTACACTTGCTCATTTTTGCTTTCTGTTATCATCTTTTCCATCCTTTCACATTCAATCTTCTTATATTTGTTGGAGTTTTTTTCCTATAGGCAGCAAATAGATGGGTCTTGCTTTTTAATCCATTCAGCCAGTCTGTATCCTTTAATCAGAGAATTTAGGCCATTTATGTTAAAGGTTACTATTGATAAGTATTAACTTGGGCTTGCCATTTTTCTGTAAATATTCCTATGTCTGATTTGGATTTCTTTTATACTTTTACTGGGAGATTTTATGCCTTCACATTCTTTTATAATGATGAGCATGTCTCTGTGTTTCTATGTGTAGTATATCTTTAAGCATCTTTTGTAAGGTTAGATGAGTGGTGACAAATTCTTTCATTTCTGTCTGTTATGGAAGATCTTTATTTCAGTTTCATTCATAATGGAAAGCTCTACAGGGTAAAATATTCTGAGTCGACTTCTATTTTTTTTTTCCTCTTAAGACTTGGACTGTCTCTCCATTCTCTTCTAGTCTATGGAGTTTCTGATGAGAAATTGAGAAATCAGCTTTAAGTCTAATTGGAGATCCTCTGAAAGTAATCTGGCATTTCTCCCATACATGTTTTAGAGTCTTTTCTGCATGTTTTACTGTTGAAAGTTTGACTACAACATGTCATGGTGAAGATCTTTTCTGGTCATGTCTACTAGGAATTCTATGTGCCTTGTGTAATTGGATGTCCCTTTCTGTCTCCAAATCAGGAAAGTGTTCTACAATATTTCACTAAAAGACCTTATAATCTTTTCTCTTTCCACATCTTCAAGAACTCCTAAGACCCGTATGTTGGGTCCTTTGATAGTATTCCATAAATCTCAAGCATTGTTTTTAATTTTTCTAATTTCTTATTATTTCTTTTGGTCTGACTTACTTCCAAAGATTTGTCTTCAGCTCAGAATTCTTTTGTCTTCCTCACCTAGTCTGTCTTTTAAGGCTTTCCACTTTATTTTTTATTTTTCATATTGAATTCTTTATTTCTAACATCCTAGTTTGATTTATCTTCAGAATCTCAATCTCATGGGAAAAAATTCCCTCTTTGTCATGTATGGATTTCTTTAACTTCTGAATTTGCTTCTCATTGCTTCTGTGCAATCCTCTGATCAATCTTTTGTATTCCTTTACCGGCATTTCATTAATCTCTTCATCTTCACATTCTAATATTGAAGTGTTGTATTCTTTTGGGGGAATCACATTGTCTTCCCTATTCGTTTTTCTTGAATTTCTCTGTTTTTAGGCATTTGTGTAAATACTTGATTTTCTCTGCTCATAGATTTTTATCTTTGAACTATGTACCTGTGGCTTAGTTAAGTGGTCTTTCATTGAATACCCAGAGGGGTGTTTTGGGTGTGACCAGGGAGCTCTGGTCAGTGCTAGGGGGCAGGGGGAACATGAGTATCAAGGGTGACACACAGTTGAGTGTGGTGGATCCCTAGTGTCAGAAGGGAAGGGTATGATCACCTCTGTTAGCACAAGTATACTCTCAAGTCCTGTCTTCCAAGGTGATCAATGCCTGGGGTTAGCCCTCAGTGGGTACAATACTCACCCATGCTGGCACATGAACCAAACAAAGGGCTTTGCAACCCTCAGTTTGAAAACAGAACCTTCTGCAATGACCCACCCTAGGCAATAAAGGAGTTTTAACTCCATGGTGTCAGATACAGGGATTGCTCATAGACCCTGCTACACCCTGCACCCTATCATGAAGTCAGAGTTCCCACTTTCACAACATGCAAGGCTCCCACTGTCATGGTGTACAGAGGTGCCACTGTGCCCCACTAGCCTATCCCATCCACAGAGAAAGCAGAGATGTTCCCAGAGCCAGCTGCCTGTGGGTGGTGGGTGCTCTGCCTTGGCAGTTTGAGCTATATAGCCTGTGATATGTTGAGATGATGGGGGAGCCTCACAGTCCTACGTGGGTGCATAGTCCCCTCTCAACTCTCACAGCCAGACTCAAAGTCAGTGGGGAATGCTGATTTTCCCTCTGGTAAAATCTCCTGATCACATGTGTGCACAAGAGCTACTGCATCTACTACTGGTGTCAAAATGGCACCTTCTCCCCTCCAGTTGCTGGGCGCCCTGATGGAGAGCTGATGAGAAAGAAACATGCTTTTCATTTGCTGGATTAGGTGGGCAACCTGCCCCCCATTAAAGCTCCAGGCTGGGCTCAAAGACAGCATGGTCCACAAGGCTCCCCCTCAGGCAAGATCACCAGTGGCACAGTCCACAAGGCTCTCCCTCAGGCAAGATCACCAGAGGCACAGGCTGCCACAGTCTGCTGTCACCTTGCTCTCCAGAGCTGGAGTCTCCTTTAGCTCTCAGCTATGAGGGAACGTGTGTGGTGCCCATGCTTGTTGCTGCATGTCTGCACCTTCCACACTGGTCCACAGTGTCCCTCTTTCTTCTGTAGAATTTCCACTGAAAATTTCTCTTCAACTGTCCCCTGGAAATGCACTTTCTACACTTTTCTTCTAGTTTTTCCCCTTAATCTAAAGCAGTTTGTCTTTTCGCTATTTAGCCATCTTGGAATCCTCCTTATTGTTAATATCTTAAAGTTTATTCTCTGTTAGAATGACTTATTGAGTACTCTCCTACAGCACTTTATTTTCTACATTTTAACCTTTTATGGAAATATTTAAATCTGCACTGAGAGAGAAAGATATAGCATAATGTACACCATATACCCTTCACTTTAATAAGTAACATTTTGGGGCCGCCTCTTAAGTAGAGTAAGCATCCACATGAGGCGCTGGCATCCCTTATGGATGCCAGTTCGAGTCCAGGCTGCTGGACAGCCCACCAACTGGAGGCTCCAGCAACTTCTGCTCCAGCTCTCTGTTGATGGCCTGGGAAAACAGTGGAAGATGGCTCAAGTGCTTGGGTCCCTGCACCCATGTGGAGACCTGGAAGAAGCTCCTGGCTCCTGGCTTCTGATCGGCCCAGCTTGGTCCATTGCGACCATTTGGAGAGTGAACCAGCAGATGGGAGACCTCTCTCTGTCTGTAACTCTGCCTCTCAAGTAAATAAATCAATCTTTAAAAACATAAGTAACGACCGGCGCCGCGGCTCACTAGGCTAATCCTCCCCCTTGAGGCACCGGCACACCGGGTTCTAGTCCCGGTCGGGGCGCCGGACTCTGTCCCGGTTGCCCCTCTTCCAGGCCAGCTCTCTGCTGTGGCCAGGGAGTGCAGTGGAGGATGGCCCAAGTGCTTGGGCCCTGCACCCCATGGGAGACCAGGAAAAGCACCTGGCTCCTGCCATCGGATCAGCGCAGTGCGCTGGCCGCAGCGCGCCAGCCACGGCGGCCATTGGAGGGTGAACCAACGACAAAAGGAAGACCTTTCTCTCTGTCTCTCTCTCTCACTGTCCACTCTGCCTGTCAAAAAATAAAAAATAAATTAAAAAATTAAAAAATAAAAAAAAGTAACAACATTTTGTCAAATGTTCCCAGTGTGTTATTATTACTCTCACTCTTTATTGGACTATTTTAAATCTAATATCAAATATGTTATTTTGAAAATAATTCAGTATGCAACTCTAATTGACAACTATTTGAACATAATAAGCATGTCTTTGTCATACCATAGATCCTTAATCTACTATACATTCCTTGTATACATTTCTCCACTTTGTCAAAGATGTCCCTTTATAGTTTGTCCAAACCAGGATCCAAACTCCACACAACATTTTTGGTTACTATGTCTAAAACATATTATGGTTTTGTTATTTGATTATTTTATCTGTAGTATTCTTCCTTTCACTTTTTCTTGACATTTGTTTATTGGAAAAAAATTACTTAATATTTTATATCAAGATTGTTACACTACTTTTACTTGTAAAACAAAAATATAACTCATTCGATGTTTGTTCAACCACTGTATAATGAACAATTACTATGTAGAGGACATTGTACTAGGCACTGAATGAAATTCTAAGATGGTTCCCACCTCCAAGATGTTACAAAATAGAGGAAGATGGTATCCACATGGCAGTAGAAGCTAATTATGTGGTAAAAATACTATAGTTTTAATTGTAAGCAAATGCATATAAAGATTATGCAGTGGTTTTTGAAGAGTTGGCAGGGGAGATGGATATATCAATACGTTAGAGTGATCATAAATTAAGATCCAGCTAGGTTGGGAGACAAGTTAAAAGGAAAGTTAATTCGGTTATTCAAAAAGTTGAGGAAAAGCAAGACATAAACTTTAAGGTGTGGGGAAAGTGAGAAGTGTTATAAGAGATTTTAAGGGACTCTAGGGATTGTAGACAAATAATTCAGTGGCAGCAAACCTTTGTAAAGGAGATATGCCTAAGTGACAAGTAGAGAGCATGTTTGGGAGGATTTTGAACAACAGGCTAAATGTCTTGAACATTGTCCTCTAGAGCTGGAACTATGAACTTTATTAATTTTTCTACTTATGGAAGATTAGAAGTTACATAATCATAGATATTATATTAGTGAGCAAAACACATCTAATTTCGTAAGGGAACTTAAAATGTTTCTACATTCCAACAGCTATCATTTTCAAATATTTACAGCAAATTGGTGGAATAATTTAATGCTTAGTTTTGCCTAATAGCTAGATGCTCCACTTAGAGGAATGCAAAAATACAGAGCTGATTTAGCCAACCTCTACTACATAGCACAGAAGAGAGACCTTCATAAAACAAGGATTCTTCATATCACAGCGTCAAACAGCAAACACAACTCAACAAATTTAACATAGACAGAAGGTGATTCTGTTAAAAATATTCATCCTAATTATGTCAAATTCTACAATTTTGTGTATTTTGAAAATACAGTGAAGCTTGTAATATAAACTATGTTCTACCTAACAATTTTAAATATAATAATCAAAATTTCTATAATTTGATTGCCCTTTAATCTATCAGATTTTTAAAAATTTACCACCTCCCAAAGACGAATGTTATATAACTCCTGAACAAAGTTCATACTTACTTGTTTTTCTATCTTGAGCTCAGCCACTTTCTCAATAGGTTCTCTTCTGAAATGCTTTCTTCTTCTCAACCTAATAACAGCCCTCATAACCTGTATGGATTTTTCTTGTTTGCCACCACTAGAAGCTGTAGTGAATAACAACAATCCAGGGCCGGCACCGCGGCTCACTAGGCTAATCCTCCGCCTTGCGGCGCCGGCACACTGGGTTCTAGTCCCGGTTGGGGCGCCAGATTCTGTCCCGGTTGCCCCTCTTCCAGGCCAGCTCTCTGCTGTGGCCAGGGAGTGCAATGGAGGATGGCCCAGGTGCTTGGGCCCTGCACCCCATGGGAGACCAGGAAAAGCACCTGGCTCCTGGCTCCTGCCATCGGATCAGTGCAGTGCACCGGCCGCAGCGGCCATTGGAGGGTGAACCAACGGCAAAGGAAGACCTTTCTCCCTGTCTCTCTCTCTCACTGTCCACTCTGCCTGTCAAAAAAAAAAAAAAAAAAAACCAAACAAACAAACAAAAAAAAAACAAACACAATCCATACAAGATGTTCCATTTATTTAATACAGTGGTTCAAAATTACAAGTGATTTTTCACTTAGTCCCCAGGACACATTTGGCAATATCTGTGGACATCTTATTAGTAGAGGTCAAGGATGCTGCTAAATGTTCTATGATGTATAGGGTGGGTTCCTATCATTCAAAATAATCTAACCAGAAAGCCAAGAGTGCTGCTGTTGAGGAACCTGAACCCAATCCAGCGTTACACCTCTCTTTCAATCTTGGCCATGATATTACTTCTCTGTGTAGGTCTTCAATTATATGTACTAGAGTAAAAGATTCTGGAATACTAGGATCACATTTTATACACGGTTTTATTCAGTCAAATGCCTAGCACAGAGTTTGATTATAAAATTAAGAAGAGGCATTTCTTAGTAAAAATGCCACTTGAACATGCAAATGAAATGAGTAAAGCATCATTTTGCCAATATTAATGTGTCAATTCTGGGCATGATTTGGCCATATGAGAAAGCCCATTTTAGGTATGGGATTCAGATAAGGACCCAATTTCACAGGAATTAGAGAACATACTTATGGGATATGTATTTCTCAGCACATGGTAAGAAAAGAAGAAAAGGAAAGATGGAAACATCTGCTTCTGTTTGATCTCCCTAAGTGTTGATTATTTGCTCATAATGGAGCTGACAGTTCATGATACAGCTGATTGGCAAATATGCCAGTTTTCCTGGGACTTCATGAAATAGAAAATTGTAAGTTATTTTGTTGAATGGTAAAGCCAAAGATGGTATTGTTCCCAAAAATAACTATCCAATGACACAGAACCTATGAATATAATCTTTTAAATAATCTTGTTTAAAAATATTCAATGTATATACCAGGGCCTGAGACAAAAAGGTGCTCGATATTCATTTGCTGAATGAAGATCTCTAAAACTAACATTTGTCCCCATATTAAGGTTCTTGCCACACAGACAGACCTTTCAAAGTTGCTCCATCTGTCCTGTACATTTTAAAAGTTTCAACCTAAGCTTTCTACCTCTCCATTTGCAACCGGGAATGTTCATGCGGTATATCATTCAGTTTATTGTGATATACTATATAATTTAAGAATCCTGCAACTCCATTTCAAGAACTAAAATGTATACTTAACTAAATTTACTCTTGGTTAGTAATCACACTGCTCTTTTCAGTAAATCTGAAAAGATTTACTATCCCTTTGAACACAAAAATCTCTTAATACAAACATGATAATGGTATTAAAATTAGAGAAAAAACAAGCAACTATCAGAGAGAAAGAGATTCAGGTCATCATTCCTCCTTAACACCTACATCTTTTTCTAGTCATGCTCAAGTCACCTGATTTACATCTAAGAAAGGGGTATTTTCTGAAACTCTAATCTTTTATTCCATTTTTACCAATGAGTTAATATATTTCTTTTAGAAATTCTTAAACTTGCATTATTTAGCTTACACTTAGATTATACTTATTACAAAAAATATTGTAGTGCACTTTTTAGAAAATACAGATTAAATGAAATAATAAAAGCTCACCTAGTGAGTAGCAAATGAAAACCTAGGGAAATATACAGAGAAAACTTAATGTTGGGCACAGGAATTTAATTTTCTTAAATTAGAAAACCTAGTTTCATAATTAAGAAATTACAAATGGTAAAAGAATCAAGAGGTCTTCTTTTTCTGGTAGTTAGATAGAAAATAAATCACAATTGGAAGAAAGTTGAAAAAGAAGTTGTGCAATAATCTAGATGTTCATTTATCAAAGGCAATTTTAAGTATCCATAATATTAGTGACACTTCATTAGATATAAATTAATATTTACTTGAACTAGGGCAGTGACTATAGAATTTGAAACAAATTTATTGCATATTCATAAAATGATTAACTCTGGGCTGATTTTTTTCTTGAGGCTTTTATGGTTACTTTTTTATTTTTCAGATTATACTTACTTGAAACTGATTCATGGTGGTATTGGGGGTGCTTTCCTAAAATAAATTACATCAATAACCGTGAGAAAATAAAGCCAATACCTGCCAATCAACTGTTTGTTGGTCTATACCAAGATGACATTCTTTCTGAGTTAAACAGTGCCAGGGTCTAAACAGAAAGCTAGGAGAAAGGCAGTAAAGAGCAGTGTATCCCCTCTTAGTTTTATCAAAGACTGTTTCTGCAGGTCACCTAAGAACTGAAATCCATCCTGGTCCTGCATGAATGCTTTTAGTGACTCATGAACATGTTCACTAAAAGAAATGAATGAGGGGACAGGCATTCTGGTACAGGGAGTTAAGTTCCCGCCTACAGCACCAGCATCCCATATGGGCATGGGTTCAAGCCCCAGCTGCTCTACTTCCCTTCCTTTTCTCTGTTAATGTGTCTGGAAAAGCATCAGAGGATGGCTCAAGTGCTTGGGCCCCTGCACTCACGTGGGAGACCGGGAAGAAGCTCCTGGCTTCTTCTACTCCTCCAGCCATTTGGGGAGTAAACCAGCAGATGGAAGATCTCTTTCTCAGCCCCTGCACCCACATGGGATACATGGAAGAAGCTCCTGGTTCTTGACTTTGGTCTGACCTAGCCCTGGTCATTACATCCATTTGGGGGATGAACCAGTAGATGGAAGACTTCTTTGTCTCTGCCTCTGCCTTTTGAATAAATAATAAAATAAAGGTTTCTTTAAAAAAAAAAGAAAAAAGAAATGAACAAAATCAAATTGCCACTATTATTGATCATTTCTACCACGTGGCTTTAGACTGAAAGTGATTTTCAAGGGTTCCAAAAGCTATTTCTAAGTTTTTCCCTTAATGTGATGTGTAGCATTTAGACACAAGTCAATCTAGCCACATCTTATCTGTTCCACCAGACCACTGGAAATGATTGTTAATAACTAAAGGAACTACATTTGAAAGACTGCCTTCTATATAATTTTATGTTTATATTAAAATAAATAAAAATCAAAATACCTAGATCATTAACAAAAGCAAAAAGAAAAAAACCTTCATAAAAGTCCCCAACTCTGACTTTGACTTAATGCATGGATCAATGTGAAACCTGGAAATGTGGTTAAGAAATGAAATCACTCATCATTTTCCTAGTTTGTCAATGAATGTGCACAACTTAGAATTTTTAAAGGAATATTAATTACAATATTAGTCACAATGACATTCTATTTTGGAATTTTATGAAACTATTAAAAGATATAAATGAGTTTTATTTTATCTAAGTCCCTTTTGGAAGGACTTTGAGAAATTTAATCAGTAAACGTTACTGGTCTATTTTAAACACTTGAGCAACAAGGGGATCCCAATCTTTACATTTCCAAATACCCTTTTGTTTAAAAAAAGATTTATTTATTTGAAAATCAGAGTTACAGAGAGAGAGGACAGAGGCTAAGAGGAGGGGGTTCTTCTATCCACTGGTTCACTCCCCAACTGCTGCAATGGCTGGAGCTGTGCCGATCTATAGCCAGGAGGCAGTAGCTTCTTCCGGGTCTCTCACGCAGGGGCCCAAGGACTTGCGCCATCTTCTACTGCTTTCCCAGGCCGTAACAGAGAGCTGGATCAGAAGTGGAGCAGCCGGGACTAGAACCGGCACCCATAAGGTATGCCGGCGCTTCAGGCCAGGGCGTTAACCCACTGTGCCACAGTGCTGGCCCCCCAAATATGCTTTTTATATAAAGATTGCTCATGGACTGTAGCATCTGCTTCCTAATTCTTGCATGTGACAAATATTTATTGATAGAACTATTATACATTGAATATAATACAAGGAACTTCCCATGTACGAATATGCAAAATAAATTTTCCATTTTTCAAGGGAACTTGTACATTGAGAAAAATATAAAAAGTACTACTATAGAAATAAATTGCTTAGGAGACTACCTAAGCTAGAGAGAGGGATTTTGTATTACAATGCTATTTATTCTCTTACCAGTATATTTAAAACTCCAACAAAAACCTTAGAAGTTTCCTATGAAAGATGGCAATGTGAATGTGACACCTATGAACTATTCCACAGTATGTAAAAGGCCTGAAGGGATCTACAGTAACAACTATTTTCTTTTATATAAATTCATCATATGTTTCCCACATTTTGACATTCCTATAAAATCTTTTTAAATGTAACACATTTTATTTTGGGGAACTGTCTCTCCGAGACAAAATTCTTACGTGTTCCCTCCTCTATTTCTTCCCTGTTTTTCCCCTAAATCAGTCTAGAAGAGGCTTTTTTTTTTCTTTTGCTGGTAAATATGATTTATCTGCTTTGGGAGGAAAAAAAAGAAACACTGAAAAATCTGTGGTACATTTTCTGCTCCAGTAAATAGGTCACACTTTGTCAAATTCTGAATATATTAAGTCTTTGTAGAATTCTGTTTTTCTCAAATACTAGGTTGGTATACTGGATATCAATGGGTAATTTATTTTGTTATAAGTAAACTGTTACTCAGGGTTTTTTTTCTTCTTTTTTTAAACTTCAAATCACAAAGGCTTCAAAAAAGGAATCAGAGATTAGGATGCTTAAGGAGAACATTGGATTTCATTTATATTTGTGCAATTGTACACTACCCTTCAGGTATGGAGATAATTATTGTGACCTAAGAACTATAGAATATCTGCTTTGTTAATATTACGTGGCAGTGATAAATTTGAGGTGATCCATCCTTGGGAAAAAATGTACAAATCACTGACAGAAAGTAGCTTCTACCAATAAAAAGAACAAATTTTTACTATCTTCATAGGGACTGCCTCTAATGCATAGGCACTAACAAGTCTTCATACAAAGTAGAACATATGTCTAAACAATAATGCCATTCACAACCAATTGCCTAAAAGTTAATTTTATCTGAACTTTCATTTTGAATTCTAAGTTATTTTTCAAAATTGTCTATGCTATAACCTTTGTTAAGATGAACTAATGACATTCTATAGAACTTCTCAACTAAAAGAGTAAAATATGATACATGCACATTCTAATTCAAATAGTATTTCTGTTCTAGTTAAGCACCTAGCTATAGTTCCTGGAATATAAACATTCATTAAGAATTTTGTTCCTCATGTTCTCATGACATTTATTATGATAAATTACTCTAAGTTGGCTAAATTCTTTTTTTTTTTTTTTTTTTTGACAGGCAGAGTGGACAGTGAGAGAGAGAGACAGAGAGAAAGGTCTTCCTTTGCCGTTGCTTCACCCTCCAATGGCTGCCGCGGACAGCGCACCGTGCTGATCCGATGGCAGGAGCCAGGTACTTATCCTGGTCTCCCATGGGGTGCAGGGCCCAAGCACTTGGGCCATCCTCCACTGCACTCCCTGGCCACAGCAGAGAGCTGGCCTGGAAGAGGGGCAACCAGGACAGAATCCAACGCCCTGACCGGGACTAGAACCCGGTGTGCCGGCGCCGCTAGGCGGAGGATCAGCTTAGTAAGCCGCGGCACCGGCCGCTAAATTCTTAATATGAGACATGGATCACTTTCTTATAAAGAGCATTTGGATTTAAAATATTTAGGTATATTAAAATTTATTTTAACTCAAATTTCTATTGGTCAAACTGAAATTATATGGTGCCAATCCATCCATATAGTCATTCCTATATAATTTTAGAATATTTTTATAATGTTGATAAAACAACACTGTTTTAACAGCACTGTTACACAAAGGAATATATGGGTATGTAAGTGTACATCAATACCTTCATCTTGGAACCAACTTTTGTGTTCTTCTCTGTTTACATCTATTTCCATGTCTCTTTCAAAACTTATATTTACATCAAGAGACGTTCATATAAAGTATCTGAACTATCAGTTGGGTGTTCTTGCTGACTGATTTATAGCATTTTCCCACTCTAATTTCAATCAAATAACCATTCCTGGAGGAAAACTACCTGAAGCAGAGAAATCACAGAATCTAGAATTATATTCTGGAAAGTTTTGCTTTCCCCATAACTACCTTCATAGATTCAAGTCTCCACTGCTCCATGCTTACTTTGCTAAAAATAAATTACTAACTTACCTCCCTGCCTCCATCCCCCTTCACCTAGTTATGCAATTGACTTAAGTTTTAGAAGTATTTCTGCTGTATCATTGCTCCTATGTTAAAAACTTAAATCATCTCTCCCTTCTATCAAATCAGAATTCCATATTTCGACATTCAGTAACCAACATCCACTTTTCTTTGAATAGTACTAATATACTTACTTGTCACATCCCCATAACCCTTTACACAGACACATATATTTGATATTCAATCTTGCCTCATCAACTGCTTCTTTGAAAATATTTTCTTACCCTTTCCCCTTGGTACCCATCATAGCTCCAGTAAAACACATGTTAAACACTGTATTGTCACTTTTTGCTCTTTTATCTGTGTTCTTCAATAGAATATTTTTCCAGTGGCAGAAATGTCATGTTCACTTTTATACTTCTGAATCTAACATTGTACATACATTAATATGTAATAAATTTGTGTAACATGATTGTTGAATGAATGACATATCTGGAATTAGGTATAATGTTTTTGTGGCTAGAATTTACGATGCTTCTCATCTTTCTAGATGAAATGGTGCCTTTCCCTTTACTCTTTCTTTATCCATTTCTGAAATTTAGAACAAATTTAACTCTTTTGGGTGGATGGAAGGTCAGATGTTCTTCGAAGAAAGTGAGAGATGTAACTTGAGAATCCCAAACCAAGACTAAAACGATTTCCTTCCAAAGCAATCTTACCTCTCACTAAGAAGTCTAAAAGGCTACAAAACCAAAAAGGATAAATGCAAAGAGTAAGTGGAAACCTAACTCAGAGTTTAGGCCTCAACTCAGGTACAAATATGCACCATCATGTCATCCTGGGACAGTTTATAACCTCCATATGTGGAGTCCAAACTACCCCCCCTCCCAGTGAAAGGATGAACTGTATTCCCAGCTCACCATTTTTTGGCACTATTACCTGGCCTATCTCTTCCCTGGCCCAATATCTGAGGACCCAGAAGACAGAAACACCGCTCCACTGGTAACTCTTCTATGGCTCCTCATTTCAAAATCTATTATGCTCTGCAAGCATGAACCACACTGTTGCCATAACAAAACTATTTTATATGAGAGATTTTCCAAGAAGCCTTTCTCAATCCATGCACATCTGGTTTGTTTTCAGGTACTTTCCTCCGAAGATAATCCTGTTCACTATGGAGGATGGAATTTCCAGTGCTTAGAGGTGGAGCATTCACCGGAAAGTGATAGTTTTCAGAACTGTATTTCAGAACCTATATTTTTGTCTACCTATAAAAAGTGTTCACTGGCTCGCTCTCAACATCAAATGGCCTTCACTTACCAGACTGTATCAGACATCTGCAAAATCTAAAATTAAACAAGTGTTTAAGATATGTACACATCTATATTTCTCTCTCCTAGTCTGATTTCTTATCAACTCAATATTATGTATACTAATTCAAGAGGCAAGAATAAGAAAAAACTCATTGAATTGTCCATTTACCATGTTATTTTATAGACTGTGATATCAGTATATAATTTTGCTATCTCTTTAAATTGATGAGTTAATTAAAAAATTATGACAGAAATTTAAAATGTGTATTGACTCACAAGCCAGCAAATCATTGAAAATTCTATTTGAATGAAACCACTAACACTGGTGTAAGAATATAGAACTACAAGATTATATTTGACAAAGCAAGATCTGTAGAAATGTATTTCCATTGACAGTAAGTAAAAGTAATGTGGACTCTTACAAGGAAATATGAAGTTTATCAGATAAAGCTTTAGAGAGAAGTAAATTTTTGCTATTCACTTCATCTTTATTTTCAGACACATTCATCTTTATTCACAGATCTGATGCTCTTGCACCTTAAAATTCAACATTATAATTTCAGTTTTTCTGTATTATTATTTATCATTTAGGTCTGGAACACACAAACCTCTTTAAAACAAATGTAGACATTGTGTCCCAGAACCCATTTGCCCAAATAATTAATAAAGTGCCTTCAGTCACTTCCAGGATTTGATCTTTCAAAAAAAGGTTATGTTTTCTTACTTAAAGGCCATTGCTACCCAAGGCATCTCTATTAAATGAATGCCCAAATTGTGTCTCTTTCTTGTTTAGTAAGAGAGGATTCTTGTTTTTCTTTTCTTTGCCACAAGACGAGAAACTTAAGATGCAATGCTTAGTCTTAAAATATATATAGATAATACAGAAAATAAGCCAACATAAGGATTGTAAAAATTTCCAAAATTATATGTTGCTCAGATAATGTTTGGAAACAGTGATAGTCACTTCATCATGCTTACCAGTCCATTTTTACTTGGTTCTGGAGTGAGAGGTGTGAGTCTGCATGATCTTTGGAGAGCCAAGCAACCAGAATTTGAATAATAAAAAATACGTAAAAAACCATACATGCCCTAAGAACAGCAAATAACTATCAGTTTCTGTGTAATAGTGGCTTCAAGGGGGCCAGCACCATGGCTTAGTGGATAAAGCCATCGCCTGCAGTGCCAGCCTACCATATGGGTGCTGGTTCATGTCCTAGCCGCTCTACTTCCAATCCAGCTCCCTGCTAATGTGCCTGGGAGAGCAGTAGATGGCCTAAATGCTTGGGCCCCTGCACCCATGTGGGAGACATGGAGTAAGCTCCTGGCTCCAGACTTCAGACGTGCCCAGCTCTAATTGTTGTGGCCATTTGGGGAATGAATTAGCAGATGGAAGATCTCTCTTTCTCTCTGCCTCTTCCTCTCTCTCCTCTTCTGTAACTCTGCCTCTCAAATAAAATAAATAAATCTTTAAAAAACACTATGCTGTGGTACCAAGCAGTACAATATGAACAATCCTATCCCCAAAATGTCAAAGACAATTAAATCATTGGGTTGATAAGAATACCTTCAGAATGAACAGCTAAGGTATTTTCCTTGTCTTAATTTTTAGTGATCTAACTTGGCTGGTTGTTCTGATTAGACAAAATAAAAGGACATCCATAACAAAACATAAGGTTATACACCTTTTATATATATTAGCTGTTGAGATCACAAATAATTATATTACACTTGCCTATTTTCAAAAGTTCATAGCATAGTTTTCAGAAGGATTGAAAACAATAAAATAAGTAAAACTGTAGGTACTTTGAGAGTTAAAGGGGCGCCAGCACTGTGGAGTAGTGGGTTAAACTGCTGTCTGTGGTGCCAGCATCCCATATGTGCGCAGGGTTCAAGTCCCAGCTGCTCTGTTTCTGACCCCACTCCTCCCTAATGGCCTGGGAATGCAGCGGAAGATGGCCTGAGTCCTTGGGCCCCTGCACTCACTTGGGAGACTTGGAAGAAGTTCCTGGCTCCTGACTTTGGCCTGACCCAACCCTGGCCTTTGCAGCTATTTGGGGAGTGAACCAGTGAGTGGAAGATCTCTTTCTCTCCATCTCTCACCTCTCTCTCGAACTCTGACTTTGAAGTAAATAAATAAATCTTTAAAAATAGAGTCAATGGAAAATGCATAGAAAACAAAAAATAAGCCTATGGTACATACTATAAAAACGCAGAGGTGAAGGCAATTCCTGAGGAATGAGGAAGTTCAAAAAGACTCTCAGAAGAGATAAAGTTTACACAAGTGCACAAAGAAACCGTATTTTAGACATGCACATTTTTTCCATGGAATGGAGACTGATCCATATTGTTTGGCATTTTAAAAAAGGAATAAGCAATTTTGTTTACAGCAAAAGATTCACTTATGGAAGCAAGAGAAAACAAGGTTAGAGAGATGAGTAGGGGCCAATGTTGGGAGAGCAGTAGAGGATGGGGAGGTTCTTGGGGCTATGAAGTATGAAAAGGGTGACATTTATTCAAGAAATAAATTAGCATCTGCTACTTAAGAGATTTTATATGGGGACAAAACAGGCATCTCTGGAAAAGATATTAAAAGATATTTAAAACAGAGGGGAGAGCAAGAAAGATAAATCTGAGACATACAGAATAAATTTCAATGAAGATAGAACAGTTTACATAGTGTTGAAACATACCAACAAAAAAGAGTTACCATATGTGAAAGCAGACGGGAATTGAAGGGCGCTCATATGAGAGGTTTATGAAGGAAGCAGCAGCTGAACTGGGTGGCTGATAATGTAAGAAAGCAGAAAGCTCAGCAGACAAGATGACTCTAGGAAAGGATTATGCTTTTGGTTTTAAAAGATGTGCAATGCAAACTTTATGCCAACAACTCAAGTTAGGGTTCAAACATCAAGGTTAAATGTAGGTTAAGGGTACAACCCCACAACACTTCCCTTGCTTCAGAGCCACAGAGTCTAGGGTTTCCAGGATACCCACACTATAAAGAGATACTCAGGCCAGCGCCACGGCTCACTAGGCTAATTCTCCACCTGCGGCGCCGGCACACCGGGTTCTAGTCCCAGTCGGGGCGCCGGATTCTGTCCCAGTTGCTCCTCTTCCTGGCCAGCTCTCTGCTGTGGCCCGGGAGTGCAGTAGAGGATGGCCCAAGTGCTTGGGCCCTGCACCCGCATGGGAGACCAGGAGGAAGCACCTGGCTCCTGGCTTCGGATCAGCGCGGTGCGCCAGCCACAGCGCGTGGCTGCAGCAGCCATTGAGGGGTGAACCAACGGAAAAAGGAAGACCTTTCTCTCTGTCTCTTTCTCTCACTGTTCACCAAGATCTGGATTTCTTCCAAATATGAAACTTCCATGTCCCTATGACATATCACTCTCTTAGCATACTGAAGTATCTTACAAACCAAAAAACTAAATTGACCATCATTGTTGAGAGTTTTTATTGAGGTTTTCATTACAATGATATGGGTCACAAAGTTGCGCTCCATCTTCAGCCCTGGGGCCATTGTGGTGGAGCAGCAAGTTAAGCTGCCACTTGGGACAATGGCATCCCATACCAGAGTGCTGGATCAAGTCCTGGCTACCCACTTCCAATCCAATATTCTGCTAATATACCCAAGAAGGCAGAAGATGGCCCACGTGCTTGCACCCCCGCCAGCCACATGGGAGACCAGGATGGAAATCCTGAGGGCTGGCTTTGGTCTGGCAGAGGCAACTGTTGCAGCCACTGGGGAGTGAACCAGCAGATGGAGGACTGATTGATTCTCATTCATGCATATTCATTCATTCATTCATTCTCTTTCAAATAGATAAAATCATTTTTAAAAAAGAATCTCCAACCTCTTACTCCTTTCTGCTACCCATAGTCAGCTGATATGTTCGATCAAGGTTTCTGGCATGGTCACTCCCAGTCCTTATTCACCTCCTTGGCATAAACAATCATCTTGTTGTCATAAACGCTGGTGTGACCTACTGGAACAACTCTAAGTAACAGTGATTTCTATAGCATGGACAATGTAAGGGTTCAGAAATTACCTCCCAAGTACCAGAGACAAAGACCAGACAGATTGATAATTATATAACAGATAAATGTGGGGTAATTCTAGGTGTTTCTGCTGGAAACCCAAGGAAATGACTGAAACTCTAAAACAGGCTGAAGAGAGAGAAGTGACTAGAGATGTGGCTTCTGTCACCAAGTGAAAGGTCCAGTATAGTTCAGCAAATGCTCCAGTTGTCTGATGGAGGGATATGCACAGGACAAGCTACACAAATATACACAGCATCTTTTTCTAAAGAAATCAACTCTCAGCTTCACATAAACATTAGCTTGAATAGAAGCAACTTTTCACCTCTTCTGTCTTAACCAGATGTCTAAAATACATATCATTTAAAGATGATGGGCCTGCATCACAGCTCACTAGGCTAATCCTCCGCCTTGAGGCGCTGGCACACCGGGTTCTAGTCCCCGGTCAGGGTTCCGGATTCTGTCCTGGTTGCCCCTCTTCCAGGCCAGCTCTCTGCTGTGGCCCGGGAGTGCAGTGGAGGATGGCCCAAGTGCTTGGGCCCTGCACCCCATGGGAGACCAGGATAAGTACCTGGCTCCTGCCATCAGATCAGCGCGGTGCGCCAGCCGCAGCGTGTCGGCCGCGGCGGCCATTGGAGGGTGAACCAACGGCAAAGGAAGACCTTTCTCTCCGTCTCTCTCACTGTCCACTCTGCCTGTCAAAAAAAAAAAAATGATGATGAAACAACCGCTAAACAAAGTATGATCTAAAAATTATGTATTGGGATTGCATCAAATTGAGAAGTTTCTGTACTGCAAAAGAAACAGTCAGGAGAGTGAAGAGACAACCGACAGAATGGGAAAAAATATTTGCAAACTATGCAACAGATAAAGGGTTAATAACCAGAATCTACAAAGAGATCAAGAAACTCCACAAAAACAAAACCAACAACCCACTTAAGAGATGGGCCAAGGACCTCAATAGACATTTTTCAAAAGAGGAAATCCAAATGGCCAACAGGCACATGAAAAAATGTTCAAGGTCATTAGCAATCAGGGAAATGCAAATCAAAACCACAATGAGGTTTCACCTCACCCCGGTTAGAATGGCTCACATGCAGAAATCTACCAACAACAGATGCTGGCGAGGATGTGGGGAAAAAGGGACACTAACCCACTGTTGGTGGGAATGCAAACTGGTCAAGCCACTATGGAAGTCAGTCTGGAGATTCCTCAGAAACCTGAAGATAACCCTACCGTTCGACCCAGCCATCCCACTCCTTGGAATTTACCCAAAGGAATTTAAATTGGCAAATAAAAAAGAGGTCTGCACCCTAATGTTTATTGCAGCTCAATTCACAATAGCTAAGACCTGGAACCAACCTAAATGCCCATCAACGATAGACTGGATAAAGAAATTATGGGATATGTACTCTTTAGAATACTATACCGCAGTAAGAAACAACGAAATCCAGTCATTTGCACAAAATGGAGATCTGGAACACATCATGCTGAGTGAAA